CGACGCGTGTGCCATAAACTGTCGTCCAGGCGAATTCGTTTCACAGAGCAAGGTATTCTGCTTTACGAGGCGCGACGCCTCGGTCGGGTCTGGCGAGCCAGAGTCGACGACGCTTTTTTCCACCGATTACCAACCGCTTCGTCTCTTCTGCTTCGCAAAGAAACGTCGACTTGGCGAATTTATCGTTAACGCGCCGATGCCTTCGAGCTTTCCTTTTTACCATTTTCCGCGCCACGCCGCGCCGCGCCGTCGTGCAGGATTTTAAAGCGTGCTGACGTTGGACGTTTTTCTGACCGTTCCTAGCAGATGGCTCGGAATTAGACTTTCGTAAAAACAGAGTCATTCCTGGAATATTGAGGAATTCTTACCGAGTGCATGGAAGCTTACACTATAAAACGATCCGAATCTTGCGAGAAATCTTTGCCGGATTTCATCTTTCTTCAAAATTTTTGGAATTTTTGGAATTTTCGAAGGAAGGAAGTTTCAAACATTTAATATAGCAAATGATTCTATAATTCTGACTGATCTAGAACTACTCAAATTTAATTCCTCGACCTTCGGCATTTACCTTCTCGAGTTTCATTTCTGTTTGACACGTTTTCTAAGCTCTCGGGATTCGCGGCTCGTCGATAAGCTATCGAGGCCAGAAGAATCGTGTCGAGTCTGTGTCATAGGTCCGTATTATCGACGGCTAAAACAAGCCGTATCTAAATAGGAAATGAGTTTCTTTATGGTTATAAATGCAACGAAAATTTGTCAAAATCTTTATTATGATCGATAATCCCAAAGGTACATTTCAAAGATATGTTTAAGTTCTTCTTAGAGAGAACGGTTCATATCCTGTTTAACTAAATTAATATTTCTCTGTACGGTTGGATCAAGCATCGAGGCCTATCGTATAGTCAGCGAAATGAATTAGCTGCACTTGACACAGGCGGCTGTCCTAGCAGGAATTCGTAGCCGGCTTCCGTTCGCCAGACAGTCGAGCAGACTATGCAAATAACCCGTGAAACCGTGTACACGATGCAACGTTACGCTCGCACACCGGTATTGGTGCACCACATTCTCCCCTATACGCAATCCTTGTATGCTCACACGTGTACGCGCAAGGTGTCCTGAAATTCAGCCAAATACATTTGCATTTCTTTGAAAAATCATTTTTCAGATAATCTAAATTTATAGTTTGTTGATTTTGAAATCGTTCCGTGTCGTAAACTCCAATTGATATACCTACCTTGGATAGATAAGATTCACTATCGTATCATCGTGAGGTCACACACCTCGAACTGGGAATTAATCTTATTTTTTTTAATAGTTCTATTTCGTCGTAACAGAAGAATAACTGGATTTCTACAATCATAGCTTTTCGATCTTCAATTTTAACCCTTTGACTACAAGGATGAATTCTCAATTCTAATTATCAAAGGAGGATTACCAATAACCGATATCTAGTACGTAATACTTCTCTATTACAAAGTTAAATTAACGTCGAGCTGAAAGGGAAAGGGTTAAAGGTGTTAAACTTGTAAAGATTCTTTAGCGCGATTTCCTTTCTCTAGGGGATTCTATCGTGTTGGTTAGAGTGTAAGTACATGTATCCAAGACACCCTGTATGTCGACGTGTACATACTTAGGACATCTCGAGCCTGTGTAGAGGAACAACCCGTACATAAACCGCGAGGATCCCGTTCGTCGGGTACATTGAGGAAATATACGAACACGTATTCACCGATATTATCGCCTGTTTAAGCCCATCCCACATTGTGTCTCCTTTTCTCAGCCGGCTTCTAAATATCGTTTCTACGGAAATTATGCATAACAACATTATCTAATAACGCGCATCTCGTGTTAGAATTTCTATCCTGGATCATTGGAAGTTGTCTTTTTTTTTCATTAAATATTGCGAGCTACTATTTTAATTACTACTAAATTAGCAGAGGCTGGTTAAATGATGCTCAAAGATTTTAGGTTTTAGGTAACTGTTTAGAGAGGTACCGGTTAAAAATATTAATTTTTTATTTGATATTTAGAGTAGCTTTGCCCAGATGTTTTACAAGCTCGTCGTTCGGTTGTTGTATTACAACTCATTTAGGTCAGCCACCAATGCTCGGTTTTCCTCGCATCGTTGCTTTTCCATCGTAGTCAGGTTAATGGCATAAACGAAACCTTATCCTGCTTTTTGTGCGAGCGCACACACTCCGGATGTGTATTTGAAAATCAGCCAGCCTTTACGAGTAAAGAAATAAAGAGCAATAATTTTATTGCTCTAGCTATGTAGTTTCCCTAGAAACTCCAACCTATTTCTCAACACTTTAATTGAGTTATTGTATACAGTGGGCCGCAAAAGTGTTCAGGCACCGTTTAAAACAGAATATTTCGTTTAAATAAAAATTAATTTACTAAAAATATGTGCTTTTGTCGTTTTGCAAAAAAAAATTGGCAAGAAAAAGTTCCTCTGATAACGTGATAATCCGAAAGGACCATTGGTGAGATGTTTTCCAACCACGAAACCTTCTTCGAATAATGGCCCTTTCCCACTGCGAGATAACGAGGCATCTCGACTATCGGTATCCTGTTTTCCAACAGGAACGTGCGGTTTAGGGAAACGAGGGCCTAGACTGACTCACTGCTTTTATCTTCGTGCTGCAGCTATCAGACAAAATCGTCCAGAAATCTGTCGGAACTACGTTCAACTTCCCACGGAAGAATTCTTCAAGATTTGATAGCTATTTTGAATTTCTGGAAACCATGGCTCTGACGATGAGTGAAACTCGGTTAAATCTATCACGAAGAAACAGAGTTAGCAGGTTTTTATTAAAAATTAAAATAACAGATATTGTATAATGGGATAATAGGAAAATTAATTAAAAAATATTGAAACTATCCTAGTCGAAGCAACACACTTTTGGTTGGAGTGATAATATTTCTCGCCGCGTGATAAGAAATCGAGACACCGGCTGGTGTGTTCGACTTTGTTTCCGCGTGTATGACTTTATTCGTCCGTGTCATTTACGAGATTGCTACCGAGAAATCGGTAATGTTTCTCAATAACTAATGGCAAAAGTTGTTGCGCGACGATAGTAGGTACGTCGAAGAAACGTAATATGTAGTCATTCCGATGGAATCTTTGCACGCCACTAGAGGATTTCAAACAAACCAAATGACTCGCGTGAGTCAGGGAGTCTTGGAAATGCGGAGAAAATTGAAACGGAAGAATTTTCTCCCGATAACGTCAAACAGGAAGTTTCTTATTTTATTATCTGCTAAGATCAATCTCCTTGATCTAGCTGACAATTTTCTTAGAATTTATATGTACAAATAGAATAAAATACGTCTCGCATTAGCAGAAAACAGGATTAAACACCGACATCATTTTACACCTCGATCAGGGGCTTAAATTGCAATCATAGGGTTTCCTAAAATATTATTCAGGTGTCATTTGCAACGTCATGCGCGTCAGTAGGATCCCCGATTCGATTACGATCGCGATCACGATTTCAACTGATAGCGAGTGAACCGTGATCCGATCAGCAGCGCAAATGAAACATTAATACCTTCCATGGAATGTGATTCGAACGAGCTCGTCAGCTTGTTTGCAAAGACTCGAATTATATTCGAGAGGATAGGAGGATTGTAGCGCAATTAAATCAGGACGTAGTATGTATATATGTACCGTGTACCGAGAACGGTGAAAGCACTTGGGGAACATCTTCGTAAGTGATTATCAACCTGTTCTAGGAAAACAGCCGGTGAAAGCAATCGGTCGTGTTTGAAAAGTTAAGTAAAACTAAAATTAGATATCGACGAGAACTAAAGCAACGACACCGGCTGGACTTCCTTTAGAAAAGTACAAAGCTTTTCCTTTTCCTTTTTCTTATTGGTGGTCGCGATGAAAGTTGTTTGGAAAAGCGTCTTTGACGATTGTATGGTGAAATTGTAATATAATTGTTAGAAAAGAATTGATTTAATTAACAGTACATTGGTCATTGGTCCCTTGGTCCTTGGATAAAAAAAGGTTAACTGCAATAAATTGGAATTCAAGTTGAAAATAATGTAGATTATAACATTCATTTACATATACCTATGATTTATATGAAAAATTCGTGAAAAACAGCCAAACTGGAAACCAGTCATTTTGACCCCTTTGGTAGCTCTAGTATTAATAAATTTGTAAAATATATTTTCTAATTGAATTCATTGATCTCTACTTTTTCTTTATTTTCTCATTGTTAATAGTGGGAACGATTATTCACAGGTGATGCACTAGAAATCGTATTAAAATGGAAATAAACCCATGTTCCGCGAATACATAGTTTCTACTACTTTTAATATTCTAGCATCATTTTTCTTATAGTTTCCACGATAAAATTTTTGTTCCAATCATCAAACAAGTGTTCATATCCGTGTTCTAGATTTTTCAAAGTACATTCTATTGTTTCTAAATAAGTTCGACGCATCTTTGCTTGAATTGAATAGTACCGCAATAAATTTTATTTTCGATATAAATTATTGTGCGATTGAATTAGTAATGTATTTGAAGTTTTGGTCACATCGAAAGAATCTATGAAAGTGAAATTATTTATTTGAACGTAGCTCCATTAAGCGCGATGCTGCTTGTAAATACTTATTCAAACGTTGCTAACAAAAGACAGGAAAAAACTGATCGTGGGAATATTATTATCTTTTCTGAATACCAGACATCTCAATAGTAGTAGTAGTAGGTATTATTGTGATCGAAGAATAGGGCGTTGCAATGAATTCAGTTGATGAAACATTTAACACGGTCTTGTGGATTCTTTTGTATTCTAATAGCCCGATTCCACTGACAATTCTATAATTAAACGCTATTTTACATATTGACCATTTGAACCGAAGCCGGATTAATTAACTTATTTTCTATCGAAGGAAACAGACGTTAGATAAATTAACTCCACTTTTGGAATTTAGAAATAAAGAAAAATTTAGCATTAAACTAACCATTGATTGTGTTTTATTTTCAGGGAGCAGACGAGATCGCCCGAAAATGGGGTTGAAAAGACGTCGTAACAAAGCCGAGCATCCACGAAGCGATTAATTCGAGTTAGCGTGAAGGTGTGCAGAAGAAAATGATGACTACCATGGCCAGGTTGCCTTGCAAGCAAACTTCGCCTTCGCAGCAACCGCGGTTCAATAATTTTGGAAACAGCCGAAATCCCTACTGGGAGATGCAAACTAGGCATCCTGCGCCTCCTTACGTCAGGAATCATCATCGGCACACAGATCACACAGGTGAGCTAACCCTGCGCCTCCACTATTTATTACGTTATATTTTTAAACGCTACGTGTTGCGATCACGGTGAAGGTCGAGGTGTTCATTTTTCACGATCAACCTTTATTTTTTTTATTAAACTTGCACTTGATTACGCTTTGAACTCTCGGTACATATTTATACAGCTTCTAATTTCTTCTCTGGTGAATACCTGCTCTGACGGAAGCTGCTGTGAGAAAAAATAAGAGCGATGCAGGTGTAAGTTTCACCCGTTGACACGTAAATCATTGCATTCGTGACGCTTTGAAAACGACAACAAAGTTGTAACTTTCAACTTAAGAATATTTTTACACGATGTTACAATATGTTTTATGCGTAGAAAATTGTTTATCTCTTATTTTCTATTTTATTTTATTTTATTTTATTTTATAATTTTCTCTGAAATTGAAAATTTTCGAGTGGGAGTAGGTACATATTTTAATTAAAACTTTGAATGAATTTCTGCAACGAACAGCTGCTTTGGCGATTCATAAAGCTGTTCGTTATTTATACCTTGAACCTGCGCAACTTTCCTACGGGCGACTTACTTAGTATCCTTGAACAAAGTTCCTATCGAACGGGTTGTTTTATCTTCACCCTTCACCGTTATCGTCATTAATTATCCTATTTACGACGACACCAAGACATGACCCAGCAGCCTGTTCCCTTGTAACGATGTTCAACGAGTTATCAACTATTTATGGAACATTCTGTTGATACCAAAGTAACCGAGCCGGTCGAAAACTTGCCAAAAGTGTTTAGTTTACCTAATCACCTTCAAATTTGCATAGATTCTCTTAAATTAAAAAATTTTATTTTTCCTTTTTATAATTTAACCGCTGTGCTCCCAGTAAAATTCGGTATTTGTACAAAGTTAGATTTCGTAACGAGATTGAAAAGTGCCAAATCGTCGCTACTTTAATTTTATTGAAGTCAAGCAACGCAAGCACATGGCTAAAGTGCAAAAAAAAGGCAGGCATTTGACGCCTTCGAAGAGGCAATTCATTCATTCCCTCTGTATCGTGACAGAATCATTGATTGTCTCGAGGCACTTTAGCTCCCTAAGGCGTGCCAGAGGCGCGTCATCTCAATCATCAACGTGCGTGCGACGCGAAAACGGGAGAAGCCGCAAATGTTGTTCTGCTCGTCGTTAACCCTTCAGCTTGTCTTCAACCTCCTCTTCAGCGATACACTTTAACTCGAGGACACGTGTAAAACGCGTACACGTGCACTACTGTCGTTCGCCCATTAACGAAGGTCCATTAACCTTCAGAGTACGTCATTAAAGCCAGATTTAAAAGCAAAACTTTGTAGAAAAAAATTTAATATATGGTACAGTCAACAGAACAATGTTTCTCATCGAACGATACCTTCAATGGAAATTACTCGTTTAATCTGTCCACTTTATGGCTTCACGTGATTATCCAACTGGTCTATTTTTAATTTTATTACACTTTATCGTTTTAATTGTGATTATCAATATCGTGAATTACAGTCGGGGACGAAAATAAGTGCACATTGATTCATGCAGAGTCTTGATTCTTATACATATGTATATATATGTATATGGTATGTATAATACATATTCAAGGAATATTCTTTCTTGTCAAATTATCCAAAGCTAAGGATAGTAGTAACCAGTATCCTTTTTTTCTTTTAATTTATATAAATTCCGATGGATCCTCTATTATTTTCCAAACGACCGTGTTAATTGCATTTCCGGTGGCTTATTGCACAACCGGATGTTACCCGGTCATGGCTACCCGGAAATTATGTTAGAGTGAAACTATTGACGAAGCCTCCTTTATTCCTAATATTTTATGCGACTTTCGAAATAGGCATTACACTTCGATGCACGCATGAATTTCTGCTATTTTTAATTTTACAATAGATGACTTTTGAGGATACGTTTTAATTAGAAATTGTATTAATTAACATCATTTTTATTATTTCTATTATACCAATGAACTGAAGTGAACCACCCGATATCAGATCGCGACAAATGTTCAATTCGAATCAAGAAGAGAATCTAAAATTAGCTTCATCGATTCAGATTCTCGGATGTTTTTGATTGAGGTTTATTAAGAAAATCAGACCAATCAACGTCAGGCAACAATTCTAACAATCACTTCAATATGTATACTAACGATAAGTAAGTGTTATTTTTTTAAGACATCATCATCATCAAATTATAAATAAAAAGAATTAAACGATATTAAAAACCTTCAGATTTTGAAAGAAAATATTGCATAGGGGTCGAATAAAACCCTCTGTGCTCGTGCCTGAGCACGTGGCTAACCCTGTCGAGCGGGTATCTGGATTGGTATCCGTTTACAGGAAGCGGGCTATTTACCGTTTTTACTCGAGTGTCACTTACAACCGTCTGGTTTCCTCGTCACGTGCCACAGGGAAGCGGAAGAGCGCGGTGGAGCTACTTCAGGAAACGAAGGCCTTGTACGTGAAGAGCGAGACTGTACTGGACCGGAAGCAGGAGCTGAAGAACAGCGGTCATCTTCAGGTGTCGCAATTGAATGCAGCCAGTGCGCCACCCAGACTGCTGAGAAAATGCGGTAATACCTCGACCTGTTCCTTGCAACCGACGTCGCCGTCGCCGTCGCCGTCGCAGTTCCCACCTTCTTCGTTGACACCTCCTTGTTGCTGGGCATCCTGCCACGAACAGGATAAACGTAAGTTTTTCGTAATCTCTTTTGTCACTCGATTGGTTTTCCCTTAGCAATCCCTTACCTCTCCCAAAATTAAAAACTACTCAAAGGGTTCAAGTGAAATGTTGCTGTTTTAATTACAATAAATCTGAGAAATTCCTCTGGTATCCGTGCCTGTGATACACCTTCGAGCACATGATCGATTTAACTTGTTCCTTCATACAGTAGTACATACTGCTTTTCCTTTCCATTGCATTGGCGGGCAACTTGCCACGACGAGATAGCCGTAAGTGGTTGTCTGAGCACTTTCGAAACCTCCTCGAATCTTCCTGTCTGATAGATAGGTCTGGGAACAAGTAGCGATTATTTATGAGATACCACTGTCATAAAATCTCTAACTATGAAAGTTATCAGTTTTCAATACAGTGTGAACTGTGAACGTTTCATTTTATTTAAATAATTATTAACCCTTTGCAATCATGTATTAGGATTTCATTTTTTTTTTTCAATAACTGATGTTCTTTGTTCCTTTGGATATACATATATCTTCATAAATATTCAAACTTCCTGCTCAAACATGTTCTACGATGATTCGAATATTTCACGGTATTAGAAGATCCCCGTGGAGATTAAATGATCACTGTTTTTACTTAATCCTTTGCGGTCGAAGGCTGCGGTATTCTTAACGGCACACTTTTACCGTTTTGGTCGCGTGTCGGGAAACGATCGACTTGGTTTGCGACGGCGACGGCGACGGCGACGGTGACGGTGGTTTTCCTCGACGTAGGTGTGTGTACAAACGTATTATTCGTTTTACAATCGAGTCCTGTAACATTATATTCTATAAATACCTAGATACCTATATTTCCATCCTTTCAAATACTTTTTTTATGGATACTGTTTTATACGGTATGAATTTTGTAAGAACGAGTTCTCGATATTTCAGAGAAGTTTTGCCTTTTATTTCACAGCAGACGGGATACTGAGTCCTCAACAAACACTGCCACCCGCGCTGCCACCCAAGAGTCCACGCCTGATTCCAGTTCCGCAGAGGCGTACGATTTCAGGGCCGCCGAGCAGCACCGGTGGAGATCAGCTCCAGACGAAATTACGTCGATTATTAAACACCGACAGCAAAGAGAACGTATTCTTCCCAGACAGCAGCCCGACCCAGACTGTCGTGCAGTCGAACGGTGTTACTCAAGAAGAAAAATTTCGCTATTCTCCTGGAAGCTTGTCGCCAAATTTTCGCGACGAAGATCGTGGAAAGGTGACATTCCGCTTGATTCTTTATTTTATTAAATTATACAATTTTAAGGTTCTCGTTGAAACAGAATATACCGATAGATTTTAAACTTTATATCGTATAATTTTTATTAATTCCAAGATACAACTTTCTTCTAAGTACTAGAGGAAACTGTAGATTGGTACTTAGTACTGTAGACAGCGGAAGTTGTACTTACACGTGTTCGTGAGTTTAACACAGAAGGCGTATTCTTCCGCTATCTTATCAAATACGTGCACAGCATAACCGATGTAAAAACTGTACTGTAAGAAGGATTCTTACTCATCGTTATGACAAACGTCTGTGTTTTATTTATCCTAATATCCTTTAATTACCGTTCTAATACTTTGTTCATTTAATTCTTTTTGCAGCATTGTTTGCAGCAGGATGCCCGGTTCAAGTTCGGCCGTAGCAACTCGCATTCGCACACCTCTGGAAGGGCTGCGAGAAAGTCGACCAGTTCGCAATCGGTGGAGAACACAGTCTGTCACAAATCTTTGCCCGACCTGCATACAAGCACGCGACGAAGAGCATCTCTTTCGCCACGCGCATCGACCAATTCGTCCAAACCACCAGGACATCATCAAACAGCGAGCAATTGCCCGGATTGCGAAACTAGTTCCGATTATTCTGAGCACAGTTTTAAACGGGACGCGGTTTGCTATCGCAGGTGCTTTAATCATCATAACATGTGTGTTTCTATAAATTTTCATTTCATTCTCAAATAAAGCGTGTTAAAAATAATATTTATATTTAAAAATGAACATCCACTTGATAAGATTACTTTTTATTCCTTTCAGCTCCAGACACATTAGACGTTCCTTCGGTTCAGGTGGTGGCGATGCCAGCAGCGTATTATCCTCGGGTGGTCGAACACAAAAATCATCAGGTTCCAGCAAATTGAGCCATGGAGCAACAGCGAGAGATTCAGGTGGTTCGTCGGGGCATTGTACGCATCGTAGCGAACCTCCTCCAGTGATACAGGTACGATTATAAAACATTAACCTGTTTTGCAACTGCTGGTTACCGAGGAAAATATCTTTCTCAGGACTGTTGGAGTCATATACGCCGTGACAGTGGTGCATCTACCCAACACTCGACGGAAAAGGATCGTTCAAGAAGAGGTAGCTACGCTAACGGTACACCACCATCCGTTGTAAGACACTACAGTCCTGACTCGGAGAGCAGCAACAGTCAAACGGATTATAGTCCGACGTGTAACTCAAGGTACACGTATGATTAATGTTGAATTATTCGAGATCACGGACGAATTTAGTATATTTAGATCGATCGAAATTTTATTTACGAGTATATTAGTTTTCTCAGATTCTGTTCAAATCTGATTTCTGAATATTTGCGAACTTTGAAAATTATAGTAAAAGAAAACATTCTCATTCTTAACATAATTTTAGAATAATCTTCAGCATTGGAATCATTTATATTATTACAAATTCAACTGTGACCTGTCTAAAGCTGTGTATCCAGAAATAAGTGAATTTTTTATGTGATTTTCAAATAAATTAAACGAGATTTTAATTGTTGTACAATAGGTTTTCCGATGGTTGGAAAGAAGGTCGTGGTCGACCAATATTGAGATCGAAATCAGACATTAGTGATCGCTATTGGCGTCAAGATAATGGTCGATCTAACAAAGTACCTGCCCGACCTCCTCGGTCAATTACTCAGCTCGAGAGCTTCTTCGATTGTTTGGGCCTCGATTCGGATAATTTTCAACGTATCACGGAGCCAGATTCGAAGACGTCGTCTCCTGTATTTTTTGATAGCGTTAGCTCGGTTGATTCAGCCCTTGGTCTTTACTCTTGGGCTGGGAACAATCAAACAAATCAGGGTAGTCAATGGCAAAACAATGATTGTAGCGTTGGCATGGGCAACGACGATTGCAACCAAAGGGCCAGCGATCCTCCAAGCATCGTCGAGCGGAATGCTCGAATAATCAAGTGGCTTTGTCAGTGTCGGAAAGTACAGTTTGGATACAGTTAAACAACGAGTTTAGAGAAATGACAATCCATTATTTTTTCATTTACAGTAGCATGCGTTTGAAGAATCAACGAAGGTATACTGTTTCATTTCTTTTTCTTATCATCTTGCCAACTGATAGTCTTTACGCGTTGCAAGAAACCTTTTGCTTTACTTTTAAATTCGCTGAAAGATTCGTTTCTTGCTTTCCATTTCCAGTTACTAGTGCTGCAACGAGCAGCATCTTAATTTATAGTCCCTTTTCCTTTTTTCTTTTGTCTTTTTTCTTTTTTATTTCAGATGAACATGTGCCATCTACTTTTATATAACTTGTTATTGCATTCGCGTTGTGTCTTTGCTGTCGAATTGTCACCGAAAGCATATTCGATGTGACGTTCTATTTTAATCGACGCATCCGCGTCAAAAATTTGTACATACAATTAGTAGAAAGTAGAAATTATCGAATATTTTCATACCTATAGTCGTGTAGCTTTTTGCTTATTCGAACAGTTTTCATTTTACCGGAAAAAATTTATTGTCGTACGTTAATTCTGTTAAATTTACAACGAACCTGTGGTACGTATTTTGTACCATAGCTTTGTGGTTGATTAGTTAAAGTTATGTATAAAAATTAGGAAATTTATTGCAATGTTTTGCATTTGAAAATTGTAAATGAATCGTTTTCAAATTGGATCGTTATAGCATTTATATTAAGCCTTTTGTACTAGAAACGGCAGATTTATTTTTTCTTACGCTTTCATTTTCCATGTTACACATTTTAATCATTAATTAATGTTATTTTCTAATTAAATAGGAATTGACAGGATGGCATTATGATTGTATCAAAAGACAGATTTTTGTTGTCCAATAGTGCAGAATAATTGCTGTGTTTTCAATAGAGTTATCATAGTAGCATTAGTTCAAACTCATTAATGTTTTTTCCCAGGTCTAGATTTATTGTATTAATCAGCTGTATCGTAGACATACGAGTGTTATTGGTACAAAGCAGAACAAAATGTGATTTACTAAATTTCTAAGGATTTTTCTCTGTAACAATTTTCACAAATGGAATTTGTACAAGTAATTTAATGAACTCTTCACGTGTTAACGTTTTTATATCCTATAAATCTTGTTAAGTCTAATTACGTTAACTTGTTGCAATCTTAATTTGTAGTATAGATACTTAAAAGTTTGTATAATTTTTAAATTCATAGTTTAAATTGAAAAAAAAAAAAGTATTTGAAAGATTATGCGCGGTACTTTATTATTTATTGTATCTACTTTGTGCCTAAAAAGAAATTGATAAAAATTATTTTATTAGGAAATTTATTCAGATTGCTTGATATATCTATACATATGTTTAATATTTTATTAAAACTTGTGTACTTTATGAACTTAATATCATTCTTCAGGTACTGAGAAAAACACTAAAATGAGTATTTTATATTTTCGAAAGTCTAAATTAAACACAATCTTTCAAATAATGCGATATATATAATGCGATGTAAAAACCTATAATTGATAAGAATGTGTATTTATTTGTTGCTTAAAAAACATTTCTTGATATATTTCACCGTGCAATAATACGAATTATTCACTTTTAGATGTTTCTGATTTGAACTGACGTCTATTAGATTATACCGTTTGAAATATTTTAACTACTGTACGGCAATAAATTACAGATACATTAACGATGACTTTGAATGTTTGTGAGGGAGAAATTGTTAACTACGGGATTCAAGTATTTTAACAGGAAAAAAAAAAGCTGGAAGAAGATTTTGTGTAACATAAATCCAATAAGAAGTTACTCAACTACTCTCATTTCAAGTGATATAGATGTCTTAGATGAATAGTGAGTTTCCATAGATTGTAAGTAAAACATCGTAGTGCATTATATTTAAAACAAGAAAAAAGAGTTGAAAAAGTTGCTACTTGTTTAGTAAAACTTAAATTTTTCAAGCGAATGTAAAGTGATGCTTGTATCAAATGTTAGATGTTTCTGTAGTTACATACCCAGTATTTACTGTAACACTTACAGTTTTTTGACAAAAATATATATAAAGAGTGTAATCGAAATTATAAAGACTGTCTTGACAGTCTATCATAAAATTGTTACTGCACAAAACTGAGCATAAAATGCGAATGCTTAAAAAACGTATTTTGCTTATAACTTTTTGAACCAAATACTGTTGATATATTAATAATATTCAGTGATTTACAAGTCGATTACATAAAAGTTTCTATGCTTAATAAAAATGAAATTCTTGCCTTACAACATTGAAAATTTTAATATACTATTATTATTATTATTATTATTAGTTATAATTCATGTTTGGTTAATAATTAATTATACTATAAAATGTTTGGGAGTAAAATAAGAAAAATCTACTTATAGCTTATATACATATATATTATTATTATTATTGTAGAATGTAATAAATACGATATAAAAAAAATTGTTTTCAAAAAGTTTTAAGCAAAGTAATTGAATTAACATGACATGTTACTTCTTGAGAGTACAAGCACAAGGTGTGTTCTATTTCTACTCTATTAAAATATAAGCCCAACACTTTGTTGGATATAATATTCATTTTAATCTGTTTTAAATGTATCTCCATTTAGATTCTTCTTTAAGTGTTTGAAAACTTTATTGCTCATTAGTAGAAATATACATTCCACTTCTTCGATATATGGATACGAATCTCAAGGAGTAAAAATATAGCATACATTTTTATTAATTGTTTATAGTAAAATTCAGTTTTCCATTAATAAGAGTAATTTCTTAACATAATTGAAGGAACTTGTATTACATTATAATTATAAGCTGTTTAAGTTGTACTTCGTGCGATTGATGTACTTGTATAATAGAATTAATTGCGTTATGTTTATTGTCTTATTAACTCGAGGCTTAGATAGTTTAAACATTTAAGTGAATTTGTTGCAGCCTATTTTATAATTTTAAATTCAATTGTATACTTAAAATGTGGAACTTATGTACACATATATGCATAATTTTGTGATTGATAATATTTAACATTGTTAAAGTCATACGTTTTTAATTGCTTTTTTATAATCTAGTCACGTAGATCAAACTATGTTAAATTTCGAGATTTAATATTATTAAATTCCTTCTGTGTATTGTTGGTAATTTTATTTTGTATCCCGATATTTAAAACAATTCTGATTTACAGTAACAGGCCAATGTAAATGTTCCTTCAGCAAAATCATGAAATTAGGTAAATAAATGATTTCGGGGATATAATACATGTAAATATTTCGTTTTCAGCAACTTGATAACCAAATATAATGTAGTAGATTTTAAATTCAATATTTAGTTGGCAAAAATTATAATTGAACTGATATTTAGAAAACTTGAAATCTCGTTTTTAAATTTGGTATTTCTTTAAAAAAAAGAAAAAAAAAACAGAAATGTATAAAAATAATTATGCTTATATTGTAGTATTGTTATTATTCTTCGAGATGTTTTAATTTTCAATAATCTTTCATTTGAAATCAAGATTTTCAAAACTGTATTTTAGTAAATTTAAATTGAATACAGATGGCGGGCTTATTGAAAATTGGAACGTCATCCTGACCATAATGCTCTGGGAGCGCATGCGCAAGAGTGAGCTGCGCCTTTGCGATCTGTGCTCGTCAGTCAGTCTTGCGGACGCGCGATTCACGTTTAGTGCGCAGTTTTGGTTGTGTGAACCGACCGAAATCGTCGACGGTCGTATGTTTAATCGTGATATTTGACGGAAGAAGTTGATCTCGTATGCGGTCGACTGGTGTCTCGTGGTGTGACGCTTTCTGCTAAGGTCGTGGTGGCAAGTTTCGCTATGTCGCAAGTACTTTGGTCGCAAGAGGCACAGTGACGACTCGCCCGTGAGACTGCCGACATCCTCGACAGCCCTGTGATGGAGTCTATCAGAAAATGGTTCTACAGGCCTAAGGTAAGCATATTCTGTCTTTTTCTATTCTTACTCCGTTCCCTTTTTTTCTACTCCTTTACTTTATTGCGTCACTTAATCTCTATCTTCGTAAGTCTCCTATCACGTAGCTGGTTGATCGAACGCGTGTGTTCGTTCTTTTTCCTTTATTCCTCGATCCCGTCTGTGTGGGACCTGCGCGCTGTTGCCACCTGTTTCTTGAAAATTCGTACGATATCTTAAAGATGTGATTCGGGCGACGTGTTACACCTGTCTGATATACGTATACATACTCGATTGATACGCACACCTTTACTAATTATTCTTGTTTACACTCCTACATTTCCTTTCTTTTGGAAAAATCATAATCTTTGCTGAGAGGAAATCTCTTTCGGTGAAAAATGTAACTAACAATCGTGGAATATAGCCCGATCAGCTGATATGGAACGAAGCTATTAGTTTTTTAAATCCCTCGACGCAGATTGACCTGAATTGTAAAGTTTAATTCAGGAAGTTTCACTCATATTTAATTACTATATCTTTTTTTATTAGAAACGAATATTAATATTACAGATATGTATTAGCGATTATATAAATCTTTCAAATTTGTCTCATATTCTAATGTATTCTATTTACCAAGTTACTTTCTCTTTCATTCCCAATAACCTACATCTAACATCACATGACTTTAGCATCTGTCGCGCATAACCTCAGTCTAGGAATGTCTACATAGATCGCGAAGCAGCAAAGAGCATTTAGAAAATCGGGGGCCGACGTTTTCTCATAGATTTAACAGCATCGCGATAGAAACGCGTTTCGCTAGTAAATTAATGCAATGTACGTTTCTATCGCGTGGAATATTTGTCGGAGTGAAAGATTCTTCGCACGTATCAGGAAAAGATTCTTCGTCCCTGTTGCTTGAGCATTTGTCGCCAGCTTTCGAACGCACGCTTAGCACGTGAAAATCTGACTCGTTTGCTGGTGCTTCCTCCATTACTTCGACCGCTGTGTGTAGCTTATTTTATGCGCCGGGAAATGATGCAGCACGATGAAACGAGTCGTTCGTTCTTACCACCGCTCCGAACCGATTCCCAGCGATTAATATCTAATGACACGTCTTGTACGCGTAAGTACATTGTTCGTAGATCGTTCGGCTGTCACGTGACGGTGCCGAACGAACTGTCACGAAGCGAGTTACATGTTGATCATTTTTCACCCAAATGTATTTATAGTCAGCGTAAACAAATATTTGTATTTTCAAGAAAATAATACCATATTTTCCTCTTTTCAAGTAACCTTGTATGATTCACGCGAATAGTATTATCGTTTACTTTACGAGTTTTAAATATTCAGAAACATGGTTTCTAGATCGTCGTCGTCACGTGACCATGGAAAAGGAGCTACCACCAATCAAGTAACATAGCGTCAATTCATGGTTAACCACTAATGTTTCTTAGAAAAACAAATAAATATTTCTGTCATCGAGCAAATATTTTCCTTTCTTTTCTGATTAGCGTAATCTTACGATTAGATGATTCACGCGAAATAGGTTATTCTTTACTCTTTAGTTGTTGAATATTCAGCAAGTTAGCCTCATTCGAAATTTGTGGTATGTAATTAAATAGTTTTACTTGCTATGTTGTAACATGTAAGAGATTTTAATCCACTTGTTTCATGGATTAGAGTGTACTCTCGATGGTCAGTCGTGGACAAAAGGTAACACACTTTTCAAGCCAACCGCGCACGCCGAGAAAGTAAAGATTTCAGTTAGTTTACGGTGCCTTGACCATGCTTGGATCAGGTTCAACGCATCGGTTGCCAGAGAAAAATTTACACTCGAGAGCGATCGTCGAACGCGTTTCGTTTCGTTTCGTTTCGTTTCGTTTCGTTTCGTTTCGTTTCGTTTCGTTTCGTTTCGTTTCGTTTCGTTTCGCACGTCATCGTATTGCTTTTAAAATTAAACGAAGAAACACGTCGAACCAGTCTTTTTCCCCTATTATTCTTCGTGTCGTTCCATGGCAAAACGTTTTCTAGTTTACCCGTTGGCACCGGTTCCAAACACGATCGATGTCTCGACTTATTGCTCTCGAACGAAACAGAAACAAACGCATCATTTTAAGTATCCCTAATTGTAAGATGCATTTGTTGTAATTCTTTTGAAACGATACATGAAAAAAGTACCTTTTTGTTAAGAATATGTAGCCTCTTAATTATTGAAAGGATTCACAAGAACTTTAAAAAATTTATTAAGTACGGATAAAAATAGGAATTTTAAGAGCTACATATTTCTTTGTGTCGAGGAGCTGATATTCACATTGCGGTGAAAGGAAATCGAAGAGTATAGTAGTTGTAAAGGTAACAAAAGAGGACCATTCATATCTCGATAAGAATAGGTTTTAGAACATGTGCTTATTAAGACTTCTTCGGTTATTTCGATGAATCTTATATGTATACATATGTACATATATGTAAATTTGCGATTTCATTCCCTCTTTTGCTATAAATTATCTTGACAGTTTCAGTAATTATTCTTTATTTTATCACATCTTCTTTGTAGAAGATATTATAATAGGATACAATATTCATTCTTAAATTTCTTAAAATAGCAAAAATAATTCTCTATTCCTTTTTCTTAGTCAGAGTAATCGAAAAATTAATATCCTATTCCGAATGGATATCCTGGAAATAAATGGATCTCAATAAAAATAATACACGTACTACTTTTACCTGTATGAAAGTGGTCATTCAGCTGGAGAGTTGAAATTGACCGATTCCATTTGATTGAATTATACTTTTAAATGCATTGAGAAATCACAAAAAAGATAAAAAGTAAATGATTGAAAATACCAATTATCAATGGAGGTTGATCATTTTTAATTTTCAGTTCAGTTTGTATTTTTAGAGTTTTTGACCGAATTCGGATCAATACTTGAGAAATATTGTACACCCTCGTGCAACGTAGACTCATGATCGTGCTATATGTATCTCCTAATCCGACTACACATGTCTTATTTCCTCTATCTAAGCGAATGTCTTACAATTTTCCATTTAATCTGGTATTTCATGCAAATGAATTACTAAACCCACGTTTACGACGAAAGGGTGGAATGAAATTCTATTTCAATTCTGAGTCCTTTGAAGGATAAACGAAATAATAGCAGGATCTCGTCCATAAAAGAGCGTCTTTCTCGAAGAAGAAGTTGCCTCGTGATAAACACTACGAGCGCATGCGTAGACACGTATACAATACGTTAAATACACGCAAGGATGAACTTGGAGCAGAAAAAGAGGGTGGACGAAAGCGACACGGGAAGGAGTGTTCCAACTAGGGGATGGTCCGATACCGAAAGAAGGTCAACGATGGACGGATGGATGAGTCATTCCAGGGTGTCGTTCCTTATGTCGTGTTCACAACTGGCATTCGTGAAGAAATTCTTTCATCTACCGTTTCCTTAATAAAAAGAGGAGTTAATGATTATTCACTGATGAATAGATTTTCATATAAATCCACCTCAGCTCACACATATTAATTATGCTATATTAATTATGTCCCACGAGACTTTTTGTCATCAGTAGGCAGTATGGATGATTTATAAAGTGGAAGAAATGGAATGAAAAATTGTAATACATTCACTTAGGAAAATAAGATATCTACAGTCACGTTCAAAGATATAGTAGCAATACATGCAAATATGGTAGAATTTTATGACTGAAAGTATATTTAGTTAGATAATTAAATTTAATTTTACACTTTACCCATTTTCATTTTGCCCAATTTTTGGTCGAAGCATCCTTGAACGTCTATGTTTCGTAGATTTGGATCACGATTTACGCTTTACGGGTATTATAAAAAAGTGTAAAGTTTCCGGCAAAGATGATCGTATCGAAAGGGTTGAAATCAGCGTGCCAAATCTCTCGTGGGACTATCTTTTCGTAATGTGTTTGCTATGAATTGTTCACTGCTCGCGAAAGTGTCCTCCACGCTTCCGGCGAACATGATTCATAATTTGTTCGCGATCAGCGTGGACGCGGCATTACGGTCCGAGAAAAACATCCGTTCGCTTTAATTCATCGACTCGATTTGCATGTCAAATCCTTTCTCCTTGAGGTGTCGATGTAATTACACACTGGCTTTCTTATGTTTTATTCCGATCGAGCGAGAGATTCGATATTGTTGGTCGTTGCAGCTGAAAGTAAAATGAAATGACTATCAACTGCTTTGAGATAAGATCTGATCCATGAATGATGCACGAAATTTTACAGGGGCTTATCATCCATTTTACGAGGAACTTTATCTGATTGTAAATAAGTTGTTAAAAAGATTTTTGGCAAATTTACGATAGAAATGATGAAAGAGGAAGATAATGTTTAATATAAAGTTAAAGAGCGTGAAAATTCAACTTTCATAGAATTTTAATGATTTAATTATCTAATTAAGATGAGCGAATGATCAATATTTCCGAAGTATTAGGCGTGCAAATTAATTCAGTGCCTTTAATATTATTACCTATACGTCTTCTTAATCGCTAATTAAAATTTCAATATTCTCCCGCGCTTCTATGGACTTGAAAAGTGGTTCAACCAGAGGATTCAAACACGATAATGATTAATTAATAATTGAAATTACTATGACTATTAAAAAATAAATCTCCAGTTTAAAAAAAAGCACCTAATATAATTGCAATCTCCGAATTCTAACAGTAAGTTAAAACAATATTGTTCACTCCTCTGTGTACATCGTTGGTCTTGCGTGGGTGTAAATTATCACTGATTGTGTGTTTATAACACCGTCGTGTTATCACGCGATAAGAAAAAAAAGGATTGAAAACAATCGCAAAAACAGATGTACATACCTACAAACGTCGATAAAACTTAACGCAATCAGTGATAAAATTAAACGAACATTTAGTTTGATCAAAATAGTGTAACAACAAATTAACCCTTCCAGTAGTTAGCTAGAAGGTTTTAACCCTTTCATTATAAGAGAATTCAATATAAAACAAATTTGTGTTTTAATCTTACCATGACCAAAAATTTTACCATTTGAAGAATAAAATGCTATGTTATAAAAAAACATTGTGCAAGGAATATGTAATACGATTATCCAAGACAAAAATTTTCTTTCGCTTTGCTGTGATGCAATGCTCGTTACGGTCTACCACACAGCGTGGCTAATGTGTCATTAAGTCATCACTAATAATATTATTAGCTGTAAGCAAAACAGTGATTAATTCGGGTCCTGCGAAAGAACGCCCGAAAAAATTGTTCCTCGTTTACCGTGATTCATTCGCAAATATCTTTGAACTCTGCCATCTTATCCAGTTACATTGATTCACAATCAGTAGAATATACAGTTAGCGTTAAACTGGTCGAAGCATCGTTATTGGAAAATAAGAAAATTTGTTTGATAAATAAAAATCGCGTTTCTCCCATTGGCGAATCGTTCACGTAAGTAGTCGTTGGTTGAAATTAGCGGAACGGTGTCGTGATCGAGTTCTTCTGGAAGCATGTCAGGAAGTCAATTTGTGGTTAGTCCAGCATGAAGCGTATTGCAATCATCATCGTTGAAAGTTCTAAAACGCGTATCACGCGAAGGTTGAATTGCTCGTGATAAAACGAGGGAATCTTTTCTACGCGATAAGATGAGAAACAATCAACATTCAAAAACGATGAATTTTTCCCGATTCAGATTTAATTTTCATTCAATTTCTTATTAATAACTTCTCGTTAGAATGCTATTAGATTGTCGCATATTAGGTAATCCCTGTTCAAATAGATCATTTCCTGGGAGACTATTTCATTTAGATAGCATTTTACTTTGCTTAAGCGAACAATTGTAATTTAACTTTTGTAACTTTTTACCTTTTCAAACTTTTATATCAACGTTTCCAAGCAGTTCGAGTACTAAATCTGAGAAAAAGTAAATGTTTTTCTTCGGTAGTTGACACACACTGTTAGCATACAATTGCTCGCTTCCTTTATTTAAATTTCAAACGAACAAGCCAATCGAAAACTTTTGGAATTTTTCTGCAGTCTAAATGAATTCGTACGCTTAATTTTGTCGATACTAAACTAGGTCCAGTCTATAAACTTCTTCCTTTTCGACAGAATGAGAATAACTTTGTTTTTCTTATATCTTTCTTATAATCAGATGCAAAAAATTTCATTAACACCGGAACAAGCAAACGTGTAAAAATTATTTATTCCAAGTTACAAAAATTTTTATCTTTTTACGAAAACATACCTATTATATTCACTTCTGTCACGGTAAAGAATAATTATGTATTTTTTATTTATTTTTCATTCCTCATTTATTTATTTTACGCCTTTTTCTAAATATCAGAACGTTTATTTTTAAAGGGTGTTCTTCTAAAGAAAAGGTTATGAAAAGGGGTGATTAAATGAAAAGGTCATCTTATTTTTTTTTTTTTTTTTTTCCAACCTTTTTTTCTTCATGCTCTAACAATAAGAGACTTTCGATATTTTAATATTAAGTGTGGAATAAGTATAGAAAAAAATATTTTTCAACTCATACTTCTTACTACCTGTCGCGAGAAAAAACGAAACGGGAGATCCATTCGTCCGAAATATCTCATTGTGTAAGATTCTGTGAATCAACGAAACGTTTACGGTTCTACGAACGCGAGACACGATGGCACGATTCGCACGTACCTCCTGAAATCATTGTCTAGAACGGTGCATTATTTTTCCATACACGAGACCGTGTAACTAGCAAACAATCACATTTACATTCTGGATCTGGATAAACGTAGACGTCATTATTTTTATCACTATTTATTTTATTCCAAGGAAAAGTCGCAATTATTTTGCAATTGCATTAACATTTTAATTGGAGAATCATTTTGAAATATAATCAAGTTCCCTATTAAAACATAAATCAAATATTAATGTAATTGAATAATAATTCATAGTCGAATGTAAACAGAATTGTTATAGATTCGACCTCTTGTCCATGCTTCTATTATTGTACACTTTATTATCGTACAATAATTGTTTTGTTATTCAACACGCATTTAGTAATAGCAATTTCTCATTTCATTAAATTTCGATGCGTAATGTTTGATCGACCAAGCGAACAGTGTTTTGATCGGGTGATACTCAATATTTTTCTTTTTTTGTTTGTCTCCAATTCTTATCTATCTATATCCATCATCGTTAGATATTTCAAAAATTGTAATAAAACGATAGAAAATAATGAGATTTATGGTTCTTCTGGATCAGCAGCATCGACTTCAGTTCGATATCATTGTTATCCTTCTGGTCTCTGTTTTCTTAGTTGCACCTTAGACTTGTTAATTGGTCGAATGAAAAACAATCTCACTGAGTCATTGGTATTAAGAGGATGTCAGTCGTTATCAAGCACGACCTTCGTCAACAGCGTGCTTCCTTGATTACTAGGTATGTATTTAGGTATGTATGTACACGAAGGATTGCAACGTGAACGTGAAATGAACGTAATGAAAGGCTTATCTAATGGCACTGCTATTTCACACGAAAGATAAACACGACGCGTGCAGTGTATCATAAGTAGTGTCATCTTCGAAATGAAATACGTCTAACGAATCATAGGACAATCCTCTGGCAGAAAATAATGATATATTAGATCGAAGTCATCAAACTCTACAGGATTTTAAAACATGCCAAGTCTGACACGATTCAATTACATAAAAGTAGTGCAAAATTACATACATTTATATCAATTTGAAGCTGAATGATTGCAAAATATCAATGAACAATCTTGTACAATTGTGATACACTTTGAATTGAACTCGATTATAATTTTGACAATACAATTTCAATTTTATCTTATCTGCATATTGAACGGTAGCAATGCTAGACGATCAAATCACAGATCGTATATCAAGTTTATAGTTATTTTTACAGACGTTCAACATCGCGAGTTGTTGAACATTAGTAGGTACGGTTCGACGTTATAGTTTGTTTTTTCTTCGCTCATGTTCGCGATGGAAACGGCACGAGCGAGCAATAAATAAGTATCTCGATGCTATCGATTTAAAGTGCATCGACACATTGTTATGCAAGCGCAATTACACGAACACGTATCGTTCTCTCGTGATTTACGTATTACATTCTGCCTGCGGCTTCGAACCGCCTCGATACTAACGCCTTGATTGCCCCAAATTTTATTGGCTAGTATTTTTATTATTTTTCATTTTACACGATACATATTCAATTATTTTTATTATTTATAATTTCAAGTAGATACCTTTAATTTCTATCATACATGAGTGATTCAGCTCTTATCTATTCATATTTATATGTTATTTCTTTCTGTACACAATAGGTAGTCAGAGAGGGATGACTAATAAGCGTATTTTGCACACAATGACTGTTCGTTCATTGATGATAGTAAAAATTTGAAATGAAATCTATCGTGTTAGAGAATACGAAGTGTCCTTTTTGGAAAGATTGAATTTCCTTATACGTATTCGTATGATAACATGAGATAAACGTTATCCGATAGTTAACTACAGGTTTGACCAACTGGTTGCCACCAATGTAAACCACGTCCCTGAAAGGTAAGGTAACAAAGTGTAACGAATATTAAGCTGGTTATCAACTTATTATAGGTACTCGTGTCTTACGATGAATAACACCCTATTGTTATTACACATTGACTTGTTAGTCTTCTTTGATACGACAAGGAAGAATTGATTTGGTTGAATTTCTTGCGTTTCTTTCTATCAGATTTGTATCGACAGATTTATGCCATCAAGATATCGAATAGAAATTATTAGGATGTCCATCAGAGTGTCGCTCTCTACCGAAGCAGAGGTAGAGAATACAGAGAGTTTTAATAAAATTCGATTGAAAAATCCCTTGAAATTTTGGCACGATTCCTGCTTTCGTTTTATCGTATTCCCGACACAAACAAACAAACAGGTTAAAAATATATATATCTTTTCCCGTTTCTAATTACGTTTGTATTGCTTCTGCCAGAAAATTATGCAGGGCACGGCGTAATTATTGGTCAACACCAACCGGAGAAAACCTTGTTACGCTTTCTAAATCCGTTTTCGATGTTGATTTTTACGATTCGTCTTCTCCTTCTCCTCTTTTTTCTACCGCGTTTAACCAGCGATTAACATATTTCTCGTTTAATATCGTTCATTATTCATTGTAACAGCAAAAAATCGTTTACCGTTAATTACGAGTTTCATGCATATTAAATATCCCGGTGATATACTAAACGTGTTTTTAACAATTAAAATAATCCATTTTCTTGAGTATAAATATTTTAATAATTGTCTCGTTAAGAATTCCAGTTAAAAATTTTATTAATTAAACTACAGTTGGAATTTGTACTTTTTTTTAAAAAAGACTGAAATATGTCAAGTAAAGCTTCCATTGCTCGTTAATGAATTAAAATATATCATTTAAATGATAATGATGGTAATAAAATTGAATAAGAAAATTTACAATTTTAATTACATGAAATGTACGGTTTCCTATTTCGTTTATAGCGTAAAATTCATTGATAAAAATGTATTTTCTTTGAGCAACAGTAAAGTCGTTCTACATATGTATGTATGTATATGTGTAACAATTAAGATACAACTCACGGTGATGCAACATTCTTTTTTTATTTCTTTTAATTACGCTTTAAATTCCTTCCACTGAATTTTTCCCAACGAAACGTTCTTGAACTTTACACCTATCCGAATCTTGTCAACACGGAACTTGAGGATTTTGGAATTTCGCAATAATCGTGAATTCTAAAAGTCCATCGGCGTATATTTTTATCGTTGACTAAATGCATTTATGTACCATTGCTAATCGTAAGTGCCATGATAATATTTTACAAATAGTAGATTTAAGAATTTATTCATTTATTGCAACATAAGAATCATTTATTTTATTACAAAATAACCGTACGCTTGTCGTAAAAGAGTTAAAATCTTTTTGAGAAACACACGTGACAAGAGCAAATCCGTAAAAGCAACAGCAACAGAGGCTTTACGTTTGTGACAAAAACATCTGCGAAAGTGTCGTCAATCGGTAAAGAGATAAGATGATAAGAAACACACAGAGAAAGTGTTTTATGCATATGTACGCGTGTTGTCAGTTGAACGATAATAAATAGTTGTTCATTTATTTGCGACTGAAATTTTTCTCGTAGATAACTATGGAATATAAATTGAAAAATTTTCAAATAAATAGTAGTCTAATTAATACATAGTGACGATGATACTTCCATTCATTAGTAGGTATATTCAGTCTTAAAATATTCGTATAGGAAAGTGTTGACGCGATTCGAACTTTTATTTTCTACAAATAATTATCGAATACTTCACTGTTATTAATTACATTCCCCATCCTTAGCTTTCTATAATTAAGTTCGTTAATCCACGTTAAGCTTAACGAACCACTGTCACTGAAAGAATAATGTACCGTGGTAGATTCTTTTTTAGCTAACGATGAAATTAATTAACTCCTTTGTCTGATTAAAAAAGAGAAGTAAAAACAGTCTCATTGTCAGTGGTCTCTTTGTTTCAGCTGTGAACTTTGTTGATTGCAGTCTGTTGTTGACAAGAGGAAAAAGCCATCGCTGAGTACTTTTAATTGCTGTATCGAATTCATCGGACTATTCCATTAAAAAATAGTTTCGTTGATGGTAGATGGTAGATCATCTTTTAAAAATTGTTGTTAAGTGGGTGCAACAACCGACAACACGTTCACCCGTCCAATAATATAACATATGGTCCACTTTTATTTTTATCCAGCAACGCGTGCACAAAATATTTTCTGCTGTTTTAATGCCACTAATCTGCTTAATAATTTCGCAATCTATGTAAATTGAATGTATCGGATTAATTCTATTAGTAATCTCTTCCTATTAGACCTAAAAGAGAATTTTAAATTTCATTTAGATGCATTGCATATTGCACTTTTGCCCGAATATTTAATACTTGTATTGAAATAAAATTTTATGAGCTGATAATTTTTCACGAGGGGGTTACTTTAGCTTTGACTTAATTATGTTAGGAAAGAGAAAAAATGAATTAATCAAATTTCTATCATTGTCCTGAATCTAAAGATTTTCCGTGAAAACAATCGGTTATTTTCCGCGGCACGGTTCGTCACTCGAGAAAGAAAAAGCACCACTCGGAAGATATTTATAAATTGATACGAGCCTGTGCTTCTCAGAACAATGACTCTAATTATACCTCTACGCGTTGCAATTAAAAAGGGGACCCCGTGGTACGATATTCTGTGTTCCGTGAACGGTGATCATCAACGGAGGGGTACTGCAACGATTCATTACTAATTGCTTTTTTTTTTCGTGGAACCTTCTATTCATGCTATCAGTCTTTTGACATTTCGAAGTAGAAGCACAAAATATTCAAGAATTTCGTTATACTGTTTGAATGTACTGATAATCTTTGATTTTCAGAATTTCTTTCTTTTTTTGTGAAAATATAAAATTTTTCTGTTGGAAACAGAGGGACGACACGAGTCTGCTGGCTCAGTTTTTCTACGCGGACGAATCGTTGAACGCGGTCGCGTGCGAATTGGACTCGTTCGACGGTCGCCAGGAGCCAGAGAGATGCACCACGTTGGTGAATCAGCTGCGACATTGCCAGGACAAGGTGTTGACGATATGCAGCCAGATAATGGACGAGCTGATACCCGAGAGCAGAGCGAACCGAGACTTCAGAGTGAAGTTTCCTGATGACGTGATGCAGGAGAATCTGGCAGGACAGCTGTGGTTCGGTGCGGAATGCCTCGCTGCTGGATCTTCCATTATGAACAGGGAAGCTGAAAGTTCAGCGATGAGACCACTTGCCAAGGCTTTGACAAAGTCGTTGGATATTGTCAGGAATTTGCTCAGGGAACACGCGTTGAAAGGTCATATGAATCTGAAGGTATTTATCTATACATCCGTCTTTTGAATAATATTTTTCTACATACAATATGTATAATTAGCTATTAACCTTTTGCTTCTTTTTTTATTTTATCATTATCTAATTTTCTGTAAAATTTCACCGATTCAAGTTGGATTTAAAAATTCCTCTGATTTGTCAAATGCAGTTTAGTAAATATTTCCTTCGTTATCCTTGCTAAGTAGGTTAATTTATTTAATAGAATAACGTAGAATGCATCGTGTTAAATCTTACACGAGAAATGCACTTGGAACTCGTTCCCCGATGCACTCTCGCGTTCCTAGCCATGTGCAACTTTCTCTTTCGTATGATATTCTTTCGAGGACGCACGCAGCAATTACTCGAATGTCAATTTTATTTTTCCTCCACGAGAAAATCGCAGATTAAAACCGTCTTAGTTTTTTATCGTATAATTGTTCATTTAAGTAAATTAATAAAGGTTGCAACAATAGAATTATGTCGGGATCGAAGACGTTCGATTCCAAATTTAAAAGTTAGGGGAAAGCAGTGGATCGTTAAGGAAGAAAAATACTGGCTCACTTAGACTCATGCATACTTGCCGAGAGTTAAGGATATGGATGGAATCCTTCCAACGGAATGGGATAATCGAGGCTGCCAGATCCAAACTTTCTTTTGTGTATTTCCAAGTTTCTTTAAGAGGAAATATTTTATCAATAGTTTCTATTCAAATTGGCTAATCCCTTATTATCTAGAGTAATTAATAAATCAATCATTTAACTCTAAAAAGTGTCGAATCGAAATGAAATTTTTTGTAATAATGTATTTTTTACTTTTTACCAGCATAAATCCAATCCTTTTCCCCATTGAAACTGATAATCATCAACTGACTTTTCCATTGGCAGTATCTCTTTCAGACGCAGAACCCGTTGGATCCGTCTCTGGAGAAGCTTATCGAGTCGTTGAAGATCTTCGATCGTCTGTTCGCCGATTTCGAGCTGTGCTACGTGGGCGCCATGGTACCGGTCAAGTCGACGAAGGAGTACGAGCAACAGGAGCTCGTGTGCGTTTTATTTTCGGAGACGTTGCAGAGAGCACTAGAGCGTGGTTTGCTCAGCCAGGCCGATGTGGACAATTACGAGCCGGCCCTGATGTTTACCATTCCGCGTTTGGCGATCGTTTCTGGCCTTTTGGCTCCGCCCGGAGGACCATTGTGCCTCAATTCTCCGGATAACATCAGCGAAATGTTTAGACCTTTTAGGGTAAGCGGCTAAAAAATGTGATATTATCGACGTAGAACCATTTAGATCGCAGAGCAAAAGATCCATCTCCTTTCGTTTCAGACGCTTCTGTTAAAAATAAGAGAACTTCTCTGGACGTTGAACAACCGCGAACTGTACATGTTGGAGAAGCTATTGTGCTCGAACGAGGAACCATCGGCTCCTCTAACGCAGTCGTCCAAGTCCGCGTGTCAGGACATCCCAGACCTCGAGGAGTTCGTTCACAATTTTTATACCGGTTACCCGAACTGCAAAGACTTCATCGTAGATTTTTACACAGTGACGAGGAACACCGGGAACAACATGGACGAGGTGGCGAACGATGTTGTTCGAACGTTGGACGAGGAGAACGAACGTTTGACGGGGAGTAACAGCGATCAGGATAGCGAGAACAAGGGTGGTAGCATAGCAATCGGGCCTAATCGGTTAAATTTATCCACGGACGTGTTCGAGGAGATTGTGGTGTGTAATGGTGGCGTGAGGACATCCAGTGAACGGGACAGTGTTCGCGACGAAGTGCAGTATCACGCGAGGAAAGGGTGTAGTAGTACCAGCAACGGTAGACAATTGTCCTGCGACGAGGCAACGGCTAGTCCAGTTCCTCTGATCGATCAGAACAACGGGAGCGAGATACTCGTAGCTGAGAGCAGTATTTCTAGCGCGAACGAGAATAGGCGCGGTGACCAACTGCACAAACAGCAAGAGGAATTCATCGCTTCCGATATATCAGAGATTCTCAGCGGTTCCGAGAACATAGAGATTCCTCAGACGCAGTACCTGCTGAACCAGGTGTCGCACGAAAATAACGTGACAGTCGAGACCGTTCATATTCAGAACTCTCTGCCGGATCTCGACTCGAAGAAGCTCATCTCCGAGGCGAATAAGACGTTATCGAACCTTTTACTGGACGGCGAGTGTCAGAATGAAATCTCGGAGCAAACTGATTCAGGTATTTGCACGGTTATTTCTTCAGAGAACACCAGCCTCTACGATAAAAGTCCTGAAGAGAAGAAAACGTTCCCTAATGAGATACAACAGGACGAACAGGTATTGGATGACGACGATACGCAAGAGAACACCAGCTACTCTTGCTCGAATATAAATTCTCCTAAGCGAAAGAATTCTACAATGTCAGAGAATTCTTGTGTTTGCAGTCTGAGAAACGTGAAGACGGTACCCTGTTTCGACCACTCGATAGAGGTGCAGAATCTGCACGCGGCCAATACCGAAGCCGCGAAGAATATTCCAAGAATATCAGCCAATTTCGATGGGACGAACGAGGAGTTTGTAGGGGTTGCGTACGGCAACGGGCAGATATCCGTCTGCGATTCGAATCAGTCTAGCTTTCAGATCAATTACTCGGAGAACTGGGAGAATCTGAACCTGAGCATCGACGCGTCCACGTCTAGAAGGGAATTCTGGAGTGATTTGAAGTGCGAGAATTGTCCCTCCACGTCGCAGAATATAGACAAGGTCGGGACGAAGATCGAGCAGTATGCACAGGATAAGGTAATCTGTAGGAAGGCGAGAGACGAGAGGCAGAAGCGACGACACCAACGCAAGCACGAGAGGAACAGCCAGAAGGTGGTACACCAGGTAAACAGAATGCAGAACTTTCAGAATGTAAAAACATCGGCTAGTACAGAGAGTTCTAGATCAAACTCGACGGATCGCTGCTTGAATCCAAGGCTGATCAGCTACGGAGCAAGTTTGCACCCCAGTCAGAACACCAGACAGATGCCGAATTTTGGTAGTCACAGTCCTCGTGCTAGCCCTAGGCTGCAACACTTTGAAACCCGCTGCACAGCGAGCCAGAGGCACTGTAGCATCGCGTCCAGAGCTCAGAGGAACCTCTCTCCCCAGAACAGGAAGCTTCTGGATCATAGAAGATCCAGGTCCGAGCAAATGAACAGAATAAAGAGAAGAGACCTGGAGAAAAGGGACAAATACGAGCGTGCGAATCCTCGAGCGGAACAGACCAAGAGGAAATTGGCCAGTAGAAGTCCTAGCGAACTGATGAACGATGGCTTGGGACCAAGAACGGATAAAAGTGGTCTAGCGAACGAGCCGGTATCTCCCACGGCGACGCAGAGCTTCACGTACGGGACGCAAAAAGACAATAACTCGCAACGAGCCACGCGAGCCGGAAGACTGGTGAATCCGTCTACGGTTCAAGGAACACAGTCCTTCGGTTCGGAACAGTCCTCTGTCCTCGAGAAGACTACCGAACTAGGCTCCAGTTCCAGTTGTTCGAGTTGCTGCGACTCGAGCTCAGAGACCAGCGAGTTCCAGAGCGAGTGCCAGGACGACGAGGAGATCGCTCTGGCGATGCAGGCCGCTGAGATTGCGAACAGAAATCAGATCCGGGCGAAATTTCGGTAATTCCCCGTCTTTGTTTGATTATTAATAATAATTTTAACGTTGATTATTGATTTTTCCTATATGTATTTATTAATCCAGTCACCTGAGCAGTTTGAGTACTATCGAACATTCATAAACTATGGATAACTAATTATTCCAGATCATCAGAGGATCTCGTGCACCGATTATTTGTCTGCATAGCTGGGGTAGCGGATCAGTTGCAAACAAATTTCGCGTCGGATTTGCGAAATATTTTGAAATGCGTCTTCCTCATGAATAGTAGTCAAACCGTGGAAGATGGCGAAACGAAGGACGAAGGTTTAACATCGGAAAATCAGTTGGGTAACTTGTTGAACGATACTAATCACGACCGACAGGATTCGTTGCAAGAGTACGAGGATGATTTGGAAGAGACCACTGCAGCTAATGACCAAAATACAAGTATGTATTATTTCCTAAAGCACCTCTCCACACACGATAAGATCATTTACTTTTTATACATTATACTTTGTCATTTATACAGCTTCTCCAGTGACCGAACGAGGCGAAGAGTGCGTAGAAAGAGCTCCAGCCTGGATTCCCGACAACGATGCACCCAGGTGCATGGCCTGTCAGGCAGGCTTTACCGTCGTTCGACGTAGACACCATTGCAGAAATTGTGGCAAAGTGTTCTGCGGTCGTTGTAGCAGCAACAACGTTCCCCTGCCACGCTACGGGCACATGAAACCCGTACGAGTGTGCAACAGGTGTTTTCTGTATCAAGTGACACCGTTTACGGTATCTCAAGTGACGCCAGCAAGCTGAACTTTACCTGAACAAGGTATACATATAGATTAGGGAATCGTTCTGTTCCATTCGTCTATGATGTTCTTATCGAAATTTAACCGCCATTAATATGGTGTATCGTTCGTTCGTTTTTTCCTCTGATTAGGGATCCGACGTTTCGAGCTTTCTCTCTTTAGATACCTGGACGTTAAAGTAACACAAGGTGTTAAAGTAATAGTTATTTGCTTTCTTAACACCTTGTACAAATTGTGGTTGGAATTTGTGGTTGAATAGAAAAAGGATGATGAATTCCTTGTGTGAATGTTAATAAAATTTTGTAATACGAGCCTTCGTTTTTGAACGAATGTTAGTCTTGGAAATTCGTTGCGTACCTGTGTAGGTAGGTTCAGGTCTGTTGTATGATAAGGATGATTTATTGTATTTCGTGGTTTTTACTCGCTGATAGGTTTAGGAAAATAGTGAAAGAGTTTAGCAAAGTTCGTTTGTTTCGTTAATCCTTTCGCTATGGCAATGTTCAGAAATTTACTCGAGATAATAAAATACATTTTTAAGATAACATTTGTGAAATTCTCTGTATTATTTTCCACCCTGAAGCATTCGCAGTACCGTACAATGGTTCAAATCAAATATTTCTTTTAATATCCATTCTATCGTTTATAAAATCATAAATGAAAATTGAGTGTACTCGACGAATTTTCAGTATGTTTTTTTTTTTTTTTTTTAGTTTAAACACAAGAACATTGTGTTTAAAAATTTCGCACAAGGAATCACTATGTTTCTGGTTATTCTACAAATTTTCCCTTAGCTTGTATTATACATATAATTATACCTATTAAAATGGTACGGGTACATTTTTTCATTTTCGTTAGAATCACAATTGAAATAACTGGGATACTTTTTCATTATCCTTAAATTTTCAAATAATTTAATTTCATTTTTTGAATAATTACAAAAGAATTTTGTTTTATAATCTTATTAAAAAATCAGTACCAGATATTTCACAGAAGCTAAACCAGAAATGAGAAAAATGGAAGTCGAAACAATGTCGACATTACCCAAGATTGCTGTTTGCGTTATTTGTATAATTACATAAACTTAAAACTCGTGAATTTAGGAGATTATATATATATATCGCTAATATTTTTACACGTCGTGATCGAACGTTTTTAACGGAGCTAATATCCAAAAGCAGTTGTACCATAGCTTTCGTAGGTGATAAGATTTCAAAAAAAAAAGGAAAGAAGACGGACAAACGTTATCATTTATTTTTCTCCTTTAGGACTCGAACCTTTAATTAAATTAGTTTATTAAGAAGAATTCTGTAATAATTATAATTTTTTTCATTTAGTGTATGCGATTACGCACGATTTTTTTTTTCTTCTTCTTCTTCTTCTTCTTTTTAAATTACCTTCGTCTACGTTCCGTATGTGTATCTTTATCTTTCGTTATTAGGAATGTTTCTTTAATTTCATTTGTATAAAAAATCCTTCGTGGACGAAATTATGTTTAGCCGCAACAATTGAAAGACGATTTCAATGCACAAAACTAGTGCAAATATTGTTCCATAAAAATATTTTTATTTTCTCTCATTTAATTGACAGACACATGCATTATCATTTTTGTTACATTTATATTGGATCGTTTTAAGGATATTTGTGTTCAATGTGTACAACGTCGAGAAAGAGAGATATTTATAATTTAGAGACGAGGAAAAATTGTAGAAATAAATTTCTGTTGTATATCCATCGTGTAAAATATTCATGTTTTTATATCTATATATACATACATACATACGCATTCTTCATAAGTAAATAGTTTATTTAAGAGAATATAAGAATGTTATGAAATTTCTGTTTATCATTGATTTCTTCTCACGAATTACTTTCAATGTAACATTCCTCTCGAATTACTAATAATAACGTGAATATCAATTTAAATATGTATCTCATTACATGGAGAACCGAATTGTCCATCGCATAAATCTAGAAAAAAATAGCTCGTTGCTTTCTTTAATGATGAAGAATATATGAAAAAATATTCTGTTTATACGTGAAACCCAAGATTCTTAATTAAGCTAGTTAAAAGTTTTATAGAATGCTATTCTCAGAGAAGATCTATGGTGGACCGAGAAGTAATCCTTGGATCTAAAACTAGACAACGATCACAGTCGGACAGTTTCTAAATTTTTTTATATCAAACGCGTGGATAGAATACCCGTTTATTATTCTCTTTCATTTACATCTTCGCCATATATTCCGAAGAACGTTTTTTGGTTTCGTTTTCTAGTTTTCTTGTTAGAGAGGCGAACATGACCGGTGTAAATAAGCGAGCGTATGTATAATTTGAAAACGGCATTCGCTAATTGCTTCTGTGCCAAATTGACGCGACAATAAGTTTGCTCGTCGTTAACGTAGTCTGAAATTTTGGAGAAAGTAATTGAAAGAAAAGATGGAAATTGCTGAGTGAGTCGTCACAGTTTGTACGCATTTCGAGTAAAAAGACTGCTTTTGATCGTAGCTCATTCTCGTAGCTGTAGCTGTAGATGTACGAAGAATTGAGCTTTTCTTTTAACAAGGAAAGAATTTTAAAACGAGACTCAGGATTCTAATTAATCAATTGTATTCCGTATATTTTCATTGTCAATGTATGTACAAAAGTGTAAATGTTTCAGTAAAACATCTTTGTGGGAGAATAGCTCAGCTTGTTCGACTGTATTAGAGTTAATTTAAGTATTACATACAGTGTAACACGATGCAACGAAAACAACAATTTCACTGGGTAGTCATTGGATTTGATTGAGTTTACCCATATACAGATATACGAGAAGCAATTACTGCCAAGATTCGTTAGTCGGTTCTACTCTATAGCGATGATTTCATTAATAATTAATGATCGTTCAGGAGTATTAATGATCGAAAAGAAATTTAACTCAAACAGTAAATATTTTTAAAAAAGATTAATGAGAGAATTGTGTTTGGGAATTTTCACTTTGAAATTATCACACGGTACAATGAATAGAAGTAAACTAGATTATTTAAGAAAATAAAATTTCAACTACACCGACAAGTAAGAATTGACAAGTTAGCAAAGAGCTTGAAAAGAGGCTACGCTAATTCGAGTACAAAACTAAACTAAAGTGATTAGATAGAGAATTATTCGAACAACGACTGTATACCATTACACTTTCCACGAATTCAGTGATTACCCTTGCTCGAGTTCAATTAAAAGTATGAAAATTATATAATAGCTTCTAAAATTACACTTTCCATGTTCATTATCATAAAAAAATTTCAATTTCGTTCAATATTGAACGATATTGATTCTTTAACACGTTAGCTGCCATGTGGTCATCGCGGTAATTCCTATCATCAATAATATGTATAATTGAAAGCAAAGAAAGTAGCAAATGGAAAATTTGAAACAGCTGTATTTTGGATAATCGTAACATATTATATATTAAATATGGTGATTTTCATTGTGAAAGATATTAAGGTCTAATGCTTCCATTTGCTTACTTGGAATTATTCTAACGAATTCTCTAATTATATGAATATATTAAATTTGTAAGTGGTGCAATGGACGTGTTAACACGTTGCCAATCCGAATTTAATTTGGCCGAATAATTAAGAAATGACAAATTGATAGAATTGAGAAATTAAATAGAGAAGGTGGTAGAATCTTGAGACAAGGTATTGAATATTACCTTTAATTAGTATAATTAAAATAGTATTGAAAATACAACTTTCCTCGTTTCTTAATTATTTCACCGAATTAAATTTGTAACATCGATGATGTACGGTGTAATCAATGTATTAATCCTGTCAAAGGATAAAAACAAAGTGTTAACATAAAATTTTGTAGCCACAACTATGACTAATATGAATATCCAAAGATCATTCATTATAAAAGAAGGCACAAGTTGTTGTACTGATAAAAATTAATGAATTATACCTCTCAACGTCTCTAGCTTATGATTAACTAAAGTTAATGAAAACTTGTACCATATACTGGATTTGTTGCGCGGTAAGAGTGATGTTGAATTGTAAATCTATCGATTTAAAGGAATCTGTTTAAGAGATACGTGGACGATAAGGAATTCTTTGAGAAGAAAGAATTATTTTTTACGCGTATTTTCGTGATTTTGCGTGAAAAAGCTTTCGATTCTTCGCACTCGTGCCTAGAAATATTAGTAAGTTTCAAAGAGGGAGAGAAGGATTTGACAGTAGTCTAAATTAGAGCCGTTAGCAAGTCGAGTTAAATAGACTGTAGAAGATTAATTGTTTATTCTATTCATTAATAAGGTATCAATGGAAGATGTATACATATTCGAAAGATCGTGCGAAGGGTCGATACAGAGCCTTTTTCTCCCTTTTACCGCGGGTATTGTAACGTTCTGCGAATAAGGATGCTTCCCTGTGCCTAAATGTCACAGGCTAAGCCAGCCTATACAGAAAGAAAGATCGTAACGGCGAAAAAGAAGGAGAACGAGAGAAAGAAGGGTATCTAATTGTAAGAATTATTTTTATATTATTTAAAATCCTAGGTGTATATGTGTCCGTATAAGTGTCTCGTGTTCGACTTGAATTTCAGGATGATGTATGCTTTGACATTTTAAGAAATGTATAAAATTTAATTTAAAAAGAAAAGAATTCAAGTTGATCATGATTGCACCAGGAAGTTTGCGATTAGCGTGCATGCGAGTAAAAGAATGGTTGAAGAATGGAAGTGTCATGGTTTCGGTAATGAAAAAATTAAGATACGAATGTAAATAAAGATTTGTTATTCAAGGTGTTTACGAGATGTTGTTGTTTAATGCCGATGCATAGGCCTCTTTATTCCGTAATGCGAACGACTGCAGATATTGTAAGATAGAGCTTAAGAGACAAGCTTAGCGGGAAAAATTAATATATTATATATACACGCATACATAACGAATAAGTGTTACGATGTAAAACGTTAATATAAAACAGGGTGGACCAGTAATCACTAGCATCTCAATTATTTTCGGAACTGTAAGAGACAGATGAAGAATTGTGAAATAAAAGTTAACTCTGTGCAGATGAATCTTACAGAACGTTTCTGCATTATTTGCAATCCTGCCTTTATTTTTCTTTATACAGATTTGGAAGCGAGAAAAATTACTTTATAAAATATGCTGAACTGTTTTATATTTTTATTATATTATTTTAACATATACCTATGTTTTGTATTTCTTTTATTTTGTCGTCATTGCATATGAATAAAAATTTCTTCTTATTTAATTTAGGTTATAGATTATTTATTCATACAAATTGTATATACAGGCAACTCATTTTAACGAGGTTAATAGTATTTAATATAATGCATTTAGTAAAATTTAACTTGTTACATTACAATTTTTTGTCATTGGACACTTGCCAAGGGCGCTTCATACCCTCGTTACTGCACTGGCGTCACCTATGCACCGGGGTCCCTAACACCCCAAGATGTTATGTCGGTATGCAGGGAGCGCCACCGATGCATCGGGGGTCCCTGGCACCCCGGATGCCGTAATGTCGGTGTGCAGAATGTCACCGGTGCTTCGGGGTCCCTAACACCCCGTGATGATATGTCGGTATGCAGAGAACGCCACCAATGCGTCGGGGTTCCTGATACCCCGGATACCAGAATATCGCCGGTGCTTCGGGGTCCCTAACACCCCAAGATGATATGTGCAGAGAGCGTCCCCAGCGCGTCGGGGTCCCTAATACCCCAAGATATCACGTCGGTTTGCAAAGAGCGCCACCGATGCGTCGGGGTTCCTGGTACCCCGAATACCAAAATATCGCCGGTGCTTCGGGGTCCCTAACACCCCAAGATGATATGTGTAGAGAGCGTCACCAGCGCTTCGGAATGCCTAATAATTTTATCAATACAATAATATTTTCGTTCACTACGTTTCTCTATTCTTGTTGTAACCATTTGAGTGGTAAGAAACCAAATACAATTATTATGTTATCAGTGCCTACAGATACAAAAAGACGAGCACCATCAGTCTCTCTTTGGATGTCAAAGAGATAAAAGTATTTATTTTACAATTATTTACAATTTAATTGCAAAATTAAATCGTCCCTAAAAAGAAATCCAAAATCTGATCATAGCGCCATCTCTACAGAAACGGCGCAAACTACTCGACAACTTGCCGAGAGTCGAGCGATAAGACGACAACATACCAATTACCGACGAGTCGGTCAATAAGTCGATAACTAGTTTCAGCTGCTCTTCGATAGATGGCGGCATAGTTCTGATGTTTCGGAAAACGATTTATTTGTACACCTAAGCTACTTTGTATTTTTATTTCTGTAAACTTTTATATGTTCACAATAAAGAGACACACATAGGCCCGTGTGGGGCCTCAGGTGTTTAAAATAAAAAACGATTTATGACTGAGCTGTTTCACTTCTTTGTCGATGAACTATCGATACAAGGTTGTTCTTCGAAAGGAAGTGGATGCCAGTGAAAATACTGTCCTGTAAAAAGATTATAATTAATTTTTTGAGCAGATTTGGTTTCTATTTTTTTCCTACTTTTGTTTGACAGAAGCTTCTCTTACCTTATATTAGTCTTTTCACGGATGACTTTTCTCTATCTATTGCAGTTCATTTTCTAAAATTTTTTTAAGGGTTTCCCCCATCATTATTGTTGCACGGTTATTATTTGCATACTTCTTAATAATATTTTCAAGCATGAGTAAGTCGCTCTTTTTTTTTTCTATTCTATTGACTTCAGTTTCGTGGGGTGGTTCTGTAGCATTATGTACCTCTTCTTCTTTGTCTTCTACTGCTTCTTCTTCTTCTTCTTCATTTTCACCTCTTTCTGTTTTTATCGCCGTACTGTCATCTTCTTCATAATTAATTGCCTCTTGTACGTCCAAATATCTTAATATTGTGTTGAATTCTTCGATGTCATTGTTTTCGCCTGTGAGAGTATTAATAATGTCTGTCATTTCGGAGTGTACGGAAGTATTAGATATATCAATTTCTCCTGATTCCATCGAGAAAATTTTATTCCAACTAGTTCGTAAATTCGCAGATGTAATGTCCATCCATGATTTCGCCACTAAATCTATACATTGTTTAATATTAAATTTATAAGAAAAATCATTTATTCCTCGTTCATATTGTAAAATTTGGTGTAACATTTTATGTCTATAATTAGTCTTGAATTTTGCAATGACGAGTTGGTGGTCCACGGGTTGTAGCAGGGCCGTCGTATTGAGAGGTAGATAAATAATTTCGAAATTTGTATCTAACTGTGGATTAATAAGCTTGTGAATGGCGCAGTTGTTCACTAACAAAATAGCTTTCCCTAATATACCGCTTTCTGTTTTGTACGTTTCTACACTGGGCTTGAACTGCTCTTCATACCAGGAATTAAAAATTTCTTGTGTTATCCACGCTTGACGTTGCGATTTGTACATCACTGGCAAATTTCCACAATTTTGTAATGCTCGTGGAGATTTTAATTTGTGTATAAAAATTGGGGCCAATTTATGTGTACCATTTGCATTGGCACACAATCCAATTGACACTTTATCATTTTCTAATTTTCTTTCCGTCTCCGTTACCAGGTTTTTGGAAGGAATAGTCTTCCATAGGAGGCCCGTTTCGTACATATTATATATTAAATTTACATTAATATCTTCTTCCTGTATTCTTTCATTGAATGTCTTTATAAAAGTCTGTGCACTATGTTCATCAGTATTTGCTTTCTCATCGCGAGCATGGGGTAAGCGGATTGCATAGCGGTGTTTGAAGTTCCACAACCAGCCCCTGCTTCCGGCATGCGAGGTTCCTCCATACTCGTTACATATTTCGCGAGCCTTCTTCAGCAATAGCAAATTCGTTATCGGGTTTCCCATCGCTCGTTGTTGAAGGAACCAAGTATATAATCTATTTTCCAAATCTTCGTTCGAAGATTTTCTTCGATTTTTATGTTGTAATATATGGCCCCCTCGCATCCCAAAACTGGATAGGAATCTACATTCTCGACGAATCCGATGAATCACATCGTGCGACACTCCATATTCCCGAGAAAGTGCTTTCACTGTAATCCCTCTTTGTAGTTCTTCGACAATTTTCATTTTCTGTCCCACGGATAGAAAAATTCTTTTCTTTTTTTGGATCTCTGCCATGATGACAGAAAAAACTGCACTGTAACTCTTTACACTACGGTACTGCCTTGAAATAAGCAAATGGTCTCTGCCTCGAAGTCTCGAGGTAAGCAACTCGCTATCCCCCCTTCTTTGTTTGAAGTCGTCCGCAAAGTGGGAGGTTCGAGGGTGAAAGCAAGAAGCCGATGTTTTGGGTAATAAATTGTTATACTCGATTGAGCAGTGACATCGGTTAGTAGAATTCATGGAAATAGAGCTTCATGGGCCTCGGCTGAACTTTTCCAGTTATTTATTATTCTTTTGTCTTTAAGGGCCTCACGAAGCCCAACCCTTTATCACTGCATCCCATACATGTCTGAATCCTCAACATCCCTGTATCCCTTATATCCCTTACATCTCTGCAACCCTTACATCCATGCATCCCTTACATCCCTGCATTCCTTACAACCCTACACCCCTTAAATCCCTGCAACCCTTACATCATTGCATTCCCTATATTCCTGCAGCTCGTATATACCGCCATCCCTTACATCTCTGTATCCCTTACACTCCTGAATTCTCCCTACATCACCTGTATCCTTTCAACCCTTATAATAAATATATTACAAATAATCTACATATGGCCACTGGTTCGAGTAAAGGTAAGTAAAGGTAAGTACAGGTAAGTAAAATCTCGTAAAAAATAATTTTAAATTAAAATTTTTGCAAAATTTAATTCCTTTTTTGGCCGCCAGAGGGCGCTGATTCGACGTCAATATTTTAGTTCAAATTTTTCCCGACAGAGGGCCAAAATTTCGACAAGCTTTAGTTCCTTTTTTGGAAACCAGATGGCGCTGATTCGACGTCGAAATTTTAGTTCAAATTTTTCCCGCTAGAGGGCCAAAATCTCGACAAGCTTTAGTTCCTTTTTTTGAAACCAGATGGCGCTGATTCGACGTCGAAATTTTAGTTCACATTTTTCCCGCCAGAGGGCCAAAAATTGAGCAAGGTTTAGTTCCTTTTTTGGAAACCAGATGGCGCTGCTTCGACGTCGAAATTTTAGTTTAAATTTGTCCCGCTAGAGGGCCAAAATCTCGGCAAGCTTTAGTTCCTTTTTTGGAAACCAGATGGCGCTGATTCGACGTCGAAATTTTAGTTCACTTTTATCCCGCCAGAGGGCCAAAAATCGAGCAAGGTTTAGTTCCTTTTTTCGAAACCAGATGGCGCTGATTCGACATCGAATTTTAGTTCGAATTTATGCCCCTAGGGGGCGCTATTTTTTCGAAATTTTCGCGAAGTTGTCGAAGGAACTAACTTACCTTTACTTACCTTTACTCGAAGCAGTCTTTATAATATATTTATTATAAGGGATGCAGAGATGTAAGGAAAGTGGAGATGAAAAGAATGTAGGGATGAAAGGAATGTAGGGTTGAAAGGAATGTAGGGATGAAAAGAATGAAGGGAAGAAAAGAATGTAGGGATGTTAGGAATGCGGGGATGTTAGGAATTCAGGGATGTAAGGAATGCAGGAATGTAAGGAATGCAGGAATGTAAGAGATGCAGGGGTGTAAGGAATGCCGGGATGTAAGGGATGTAAGGTGTGCAGGGATGTAAGGAATGCAGGGATATTAGGAATGCAAAGATGTATGGGATGTAGTGATATAAGGGATGAAGGGATGTAAGGAATACAGGGATGTAAGGAATGCAGGATGTAAGGGATGCAGGGGTTCACGGAATACTGAAATGTATGGGATGTAGTGCGGTAAGGGATGCAGTGATATAAGGAATGCAGGGATGTAAGGAATACAGGGATGTAAGGAATGCAGAGATGTAAAGGATGCCGGAATGTAAGGAAAGCAGAGATGTAAAGAATTTTAAAAGGAAGAATTACAAAATCATGATAAATTTTTCAAAAAATTTATTATAAAATATATTATACCTTAATTAAGTACATATTCAACACTACGTACGTGAACAATGTCTACGTATAACAACTACAAATGCAATCAGTCTCAGCTTATCGAGCTGACCGCGAACGAAAATGGGATCTAGACAACACAGAAAATAAAAAATCGTATCACCTTCATGGTAGTTGATAATTAAACCATTAAGGATGAAAATTATTAGCTGATCTTTCTACAAAGAGAAAGCCTATATACTTTCTTCTAACATTTGAGCGAGTCGTATGTACATACATTCCTAAAATACACAAAAGTCAAGGTATTAAGAAACTGACGGTCGTAACAATTAAAGCTGAGGTTCCATTCATTCCATTGCGGTTATATTTTCACACACTAATGTACCGCTGGTATTGTTTTATGGGTATTAAATAATCATCACAACCACAAACGTAAAATTTAAATGCAACGAAACCGAGTAAAAATATATATAACTGATCGATTAGTTCATTAACACTTTTCACTTGATAATACGAATGCGCAGTGTTTTTATATTTAGTTTACTTAATAAAGGGGCTGTAATGAATATTAAAGCTACCCTCTTCCATTTCAAATAGCCAACATAAACGGCTTCCTTAATGCCAATTAATTATTAATTTTTTTCCTATCAATTACGTGTAATTACATATCTCATTAAAATGTCTGCAATTTAGATCAAAATGGCCCCAAAGTATCAGTCTTTTGGTTAAAATTTTGTTAATTTTATTATACATAGTTGAGCATAAATCTACGAAGTCCGTTATGGCCTAGTAAGAACATACTAATTACGTTCCACAGCCGACGACTTCTACAACACAACTATCATGGATGTGTATAATAATTTAAGAAGCATTTTGTTCGAATATCTTTTAAATACCTTTTCATATAACGACTTGTAATCTTGGTTAAAATATTACTTAAGTTAGAGCTGTTAATTCTGGTTAAAAACTTAAAATCTATTAGTTCGAAATAGAATGATACAAAAATCACACTAGGAACGTATATTACTAAGAACTATATAAAATAATCTTAATTGAGTAATTATTCGAACAAAACGCTCAGAGTTATAAAATAATAACTATGTTCTTACAAGTAGACATTAACGAAATTCTTATATTAAATGTGCTACTATACCCCAATAAATGCAAGTATAAATTGCATTGATCTTATATCAAATATTTTAGTAATAATACTTATGTAGCTATAACAAAACAAACGTATGGTGTTTGATTATCAACTTCTACATGCTCTTATTCTACAAACTACAAATACTTTCTTTAATTCTACAGTTCAAAATGACCTACTATACCTCTTAAGCTCTATTACAATGAAGTATTCGGGTTTATCTCGATTAAGAGCAATTTTATCAAAGAAATAAATAGGAACCAGCCTATAGCTCATTTACAGGACAAAAATATATATATAAAATTAACTACTTTGTAAATTGAATAAAAATATGGCAGTTGAGGCCAATTTAAAAGATTTCAAAATAAAATATATCGTTCCTTTTTGTAATAAAACGATTGTCTTAAAACCTATCCATGTGCCAATATTTAAGTTATAATAACTTTGCAAAACCATTAAACCATTACTTTCCTTTTCTTTGCGTATGCCACTTTAACCACATTCAGAGTTTCCATGATCAAAGTATCCAATATAGTTACGGTGAGACCATTTTTAACCGCTAGTTCATCATGATGAAACCTGGTCCATTCGTCTTCCTCGGCTTGGGCCTCTCTGGCCAGCAATTCGTCGACTCTGTCCCTTCGTTTTCTGCTCCAACGCATCACCATATTTTCCCGTTGTAATTTCGTCTTGAAACCAAACAACGTAGCCACCTCTTTATTCACATAGGCGTTAAGTTCTTCTAAAGTTTTGGGAATCTTCATAATTGGTTTCGTTTTCACGTTTGGCTTCGTCCAACTTGGACCTGGTTTCTCATACTCGGCTTGATAAACCTCGGCGATCGTTTCTTTGCACAGATCAAACAGAAACGTGTTATAAATTCTTCTATCTTTCTTAACAGTCTCGTCGTTCTCTTTGGTTAACTCGCATATTTCCAAAGGAGCTTCTAATCTCATAATATCTTCTCCAGCTTCCTTGGCTTTGAATATAATCGCTGTAGCTTTCTCAGTAAACGCTGTTAATTCGTCTATGTTTGAAGGAATCACAGCTGGAGGAGGAGAAGGTGATCCAAGGGATGTAGAAATTCTTCCGCCACCCCCAGGTGGTGTGTAAGGAGGTGGTGGTTTGTTAGGTATTTCTCTGACGTAGTAAGAAACTTCTTCTGCTTCTAATTTCTTAATCTATTAGGAAAAGATTAACGCGTGAAAAGTTAATATTATATTATTTTAAAAAAATACAACGAAGCTAGGAGAAAATCAATTTTTACCTCCAATTCAATTTGAAGTTGTTCAATTCGAAGCAGTTTTGCTTCCCAATCTGCAACATCCACACCAGGTTGTTCCAATGATGCTGTACAAGGAAAAATGTAAAATACCATAAGATTGTAAAAGATTTGATAAATAACATTTCCAGGAAAAGCAACACGAATCTTTACATTACATTACCGATTCACATTTTACTCTGATTAGGTGCTTTGTAAATTAAAGAAAAAAAGAATATCCAAATATTGATAAAAAATCTGTTTGATGCATTAATAAAACAGTAATGAAGCTGTGATAGTTATACATTCCAAGTAAAGTTTATGTATACACAATAGTAATTCCTTTTTCAAAATACTTAGGAACAAGAAAGAAGGGATAATATTTTATGGATGTGTTGTACTCAAAATGTTCACAGGCTTTCCTTGTGCAAACAGAAATGAATAATCAAAGGTCAAGCACTCATGCAACACTGATTTGTAGAAAAAGAACAAGTCAATGTCTGTTTTATTCAAAGTTTCGTGTTGTTATTACCTTTAGATAATTATTATCTCGACTTTGCTATTCTGAAAATAAATAATACATCGCTATACGAGGCAATGTTTTGCACAGGATTACGCAGCCATTATAAAAATCAGAACGTGTCTCTGTAACGTATGCAATAGGTAACATGAAATCACTGATTATAAGATATATTCAACACTTTACCAGCTAAATAATAACTGATAATAAACAACATCTAGTAAATAATGAATAAATCATTTAAAAATTCATAATATATCCTAGGCTGGTAAACTGTTAGAATTACATAAACAGTGTCAAATAAAATCTAACAAAATTCCAATATATCCATTCTCAGTAGCAATACAATTTCTAGATATTTAAACAATTCAAATCGTACGTCTTTAAGTGAATAATGAAATAAAAATTCAAATTGTACATAAATAGAAAATTATACCTTTCAATTTATCTATCATGACCTCTATATCCTTTTCTGATGTTGCAACAATAGGAGCGGCATGGTACGTATTCTTTGAATCTACATTTTCATTTTCCACATTGCTGTTACTTAATAAATCATCATTTAAGCCATCAATGTCTAATCTTGAATCATTAGGATCACGAGAAGAATCTATCTCGATTTCTGATACATCCTTTGGTGTATTTCTGCAGTCGCTCGATTCGGACAACGCATCCTGCTCTCGTTTTTCTCGTTCTTCCAAATCATTTAAGCTAACTATTTCTTTAGACGTCTCATTATTCAAATCATTTTTCTTTTCACTACTATCCACAACTTTATCATCAACCTTTGAAGACATAATACTATCCTTATCAGAAATTTCTGTTTGTGACTTCTCACTATCTTCAGAAACATGCTTATCATCCTGAAACTTATGTACATTGTATTCGAAATTCCTGGAAGATTTTTGAGTAATTTCATCCAGTATTTTCAATACTTCCTCCGACTTATGTATTGCTTCATATTTTTCTGGTATAGAGGATGACTTCTGAATAACAGCAGATCTCTGAAGTTCACTTTTATCGAATATCTCAGACACCTCAAGACTTTCTTCAGAAATGTCTTCATACTCCGGATCTTTCAAAATATCAAATGTTTTGTTTACTATATTATTCGGTGAATTAGATGTAATTACTTCACAGCTTATTACTGGTTTAAGATCATTTACAAATACAGAAGTAGTTGGATCCTTCTGATTCTGTATTTCATTACCCTGAACTTCAATAGATTGAGCATCAGTTTTATCAAGAGATATACAATCCAATTCGGTGACTGAATGTTCAATTTCTTTTTCTATAACATCTAAACTACTTTCAGCTACTTCTACCAAGTTATCAAGTTGTTCGCCATCAGAACTATCTTGTTCTAATATGGGTTCTAAGGATTTGTATTCTTGCACTATTTTTATTCCTGTTTCTATTTTATCTTTCTGATCATTCGTTTCCATAGGTTCCTCCTCTGCTAATTCTACTTTAGCATCAATTTCAAGTTCTGACAAACTCTCACTTTCCTCGGTTCCTGGTTCTAATTCTGTTATAACAATATCTCGGGATTTATTTTCAATGTCATATATATCCTCGTCGTGTTTCATTTCTGTACGTAAATTAAGACCCATGATAAGATCAATATGAATTTTATTAATTGCTACATTTTCATTAGTATTTTTATTGTCTCTAGTATCCAAAGAAACAGATTGTCTATTTTCATTTTGTTGTAATGTATCCTTTAAGTTGAAACTACCGGAAATTAATGTAACTTCTTCGTCTCCTGTAATTTTTATTTCGTTTTTATTTTCTGTAACCTCAGAATGACTTTCGATTTTCTCTTTTATCGAACTATCCTCAATACTTTTCTCAACTTTATCCAATATTTTGACCACAGAATCATAAATGGCTTTTTGGAAATTATCAGTTTCAATGCTGTGTACAGTATCATCTTGATCCTGTTCTTTATAGCTATCTACAGAATCTAACACCGTATCATCAAAATTAATGTCACGCTGATCAATATTTGTAGTTTCCCTATTCGGTATAAACGAGAATATACCTTCTATATCATTAATTGTGTTCTCCTCCAAAATTTGATGTTTAGAACTGTCAGTTAAATGAGATGCATCTTTTGAATAATGAGATTTTTTCCAGGGAGAATTAGTAACATCTTTATCAACGGGACTTTTATCTGTGGAAATTTGTTTTATTTCACTTTCATCGTTACTAATTTCTTTGTTATTAAAGCTCGTATCATATTTAGATATTTTATCGAGTTCCACTAGAGACGATACTTTCAAATCTATATTTTCATCTTGTATAAATGAAATTTCATTTCTGTTGTTATTACTAAATTCTTTGGACTCGTTAGATATTAATTTAGGACTATCAGCTTTTGATAGTGAATGAATTTCACTTGTGCTTTGCTGTCGATCGTTTGTATAACTCTCCAAAGGTTCTTCAAAGTTTTCAATTGATTTAGTTTCACGGTCTATAACTGGTGCTTGTTTGCTAATACTACGTGCAAGTTTTACAGAACTTGTGTCACTATTATGTTCAGAATGAATTCGTGGCGTAAGTACATTGTTTATTGGGTAAAGATCTAATGAATTATCATCATTTTTCCTTAAATTGGACTGTTCCAAAGAAATTGGGGAACTTTTATTAAATTCTAATGCATGATGATTTCCTGAATTATGAGAGTTAATTAAATTTTCTGCAGTATCTGTGTCGATATCTTCTTCGGTAAGATATACTGCCTCAGATTGTACGTTGCTTACACTTTCTTTCCCTTGAGGTGTCTTTGAATAAATTTCAGACAATGATCTTGTATTAGTTCCATTTAAATTGTTATTCTCAGTTAATATATCTGAACGATTTAAATCATTCTCGCTAACTTTAATATGTTCTGATATTATTGACTTTTCAATTTCATTTAAAATTTCCTTACTTCTTGCTTTGTAATCAATTTCTTGATTCGATTTAGAGAAAGATATTTCATCTGGAGGAATTATAGCAGACATGACATTGTCAACTTTTTCTACTATACTCTTATTGTCACTAATATTAGTAACTGATTTTAATTTTGCGCTATTCGTTAAGTACTGTGATATATCAGAATTAATCTCTTTTTTATATAATTGTGCATCTACGCTTTTATCCTCTGACGTGACTTCCGTATTTCTATCCGACTTGGATAGCATTTCTGATATATCCTTTGACGTGCTCCTTTCTTCATTTTGTAATTCTTGTTTTGTTCCTTCATTTGATTTGTCATTAAAACGTGACATCATTTCTGAAAGTATTTTCAGTTCATTTTCTAGTGAACTTATATCTTCGTTCAGGTTTTGATTACTGAGGCACAGAGAGTCCAATTTCTTGGAAAAATCCAGAATTTGATGAGCAGACTCAGCGTTAACCTGGGCATTAGAGCTCTGAATATTGGATCTGTCCGAATGTACATGAGAGCGTTCAATATCTTGTATTTTGTTAGCTACAGATGAAATACTTCTTCCTCTGGACTGTTCGGAAACTGTATCAAAATCAGATTTATATTCTCTTGTGTCAGATTGAATTGTTTCATTTTCAGAGAACTTTACTTCTGATTGCGTAAGTATATCAGTCTCAGACTTTGCATCGCTTATTTCAGTTTTAACTTCTTCTGAAGTGTTAGTTTTCTTTGCTTCTGATATGACTGACTTAATTGGCATTTCCTCAATATCGTCGGAAATCGACGACATCGAAGCAGAGCCAACTCTATCAATCTCAATTTGTTCGGATATACTTTCATCAAAGACAGTACTCGCTTTGGGGGAATTCAAATGTTCTGAGATTCTTGTATGCCTAGAGGATTTGATTATCCTTTCCGAATCACTTTTATCATACTCAGTTTCAATATTTTTGTTCCTCGTTAAATTTATATTTTTCATGCAATCTTTCATCGACAAACTTTCTGTACATAACAAATCAGACTCTGATCTGGATCTCAATAAATCATTATTTTTAAATATATCCTGAATCTTCTTTAAAGGAATCTCAGGTACTTTAAAATCTGCCAGCGATTTAGACTCTATCGCTAACTTATCGCTATCCTTAGTAGATACCTTTTTCGACTCCAATTTTCTACGCATTTCGTGGATCGTTGTGTCGTATTTCTATTAAAGAAGAAAAATGGAAATGAATAATTTTGTACCTGTAACATTTTTGAAAACTATTTTCAACTACTTACCTTAATTTGATTTAATAAATTCGCTTCCAAGGCTCGAAGTTTCTGTTTCGTTTGTTTTCTGGCTTCCCTTTTCAAACGTGACATTTCTATTCGTCGCTCTGCTAATTTTTCAGTAAGTAATTCTATTCTTCCTTCGACATCGCTGGTATCGGATGAAATGGTAGTATCTACAAAGGGACATACACTCCTCTCTGATAGTTATCAGAGTTAAAAGATACGTAAAAGAAATATTCGTTTAGTTTCCAGAAAAATGTTATATTAAATTTACCTTGTTGAGAGAAAACGTTGGAGGTTGCTGTTACAAGTTTAAGAGCAGCTTGTTCCATTCGTGCAACACGGTCTTCTTCGTTTCTCAATTTTGCATGCCAGGCCATCCACTCTTCCACACAGTTTTTCCGTGATGTAAGCGCAGCTTCACGCGCGTTTAATATTCTGAAAAACGTAATCGCATCCGATAATGCAAATACTGCACTGTCCATAACTATCGAACATATTACGAGTAAGAAGACTGAAAATTATTTAATTGCAAGGATAGACACGGATGTTCTTTGCTACAGAGAAGTACTGCAATAAAAGTGGAATGCACAGAACGCCGGTGCACCGAAATCTATTTTTACAATGCTTCATTTCATCTACATGAATCTACAGTTTATTATTAGATTTCTTACACGTGCCTGCAGCGATTCGCAATTTTATTAAATTTTCCTTGAACTTTGTGTTAAAAATAGCTTACAAAATCATTAACATACATTGATTGTTTAAAAAATACATACGTATATGTACACTTACTGTTCAAGTTTCTTGGAAGTCTTCAGGTTTTGATCTTGCGATCTAACAACCACAGACTTGGAGTAATTTTTGTCACTTTCTCCAGAACTATGGCGAGATATTGCAAAGTTACTAATTTGAGATTTTACAGAAACATTGCCTAAACTGTGCTCAATCTTCTCTTGAGGAATAGAATTTTCATTCTCTTTACTTTCATAATTATCTATTCCGTTAGTTAATAGTTTAAAATTGTTATCTTTTGCAGATTTTGAGTGCCTAGTTACAGTTTGTAAAGAACTCTGATTTTCATTATAATCCATATTGTCCAACAGTGCATTCTCATTATTCTTGTCACACTGAATAAATTCTTTCTCCATTTTTGTTCGTTTGTTGTGATGTTTAATCAATTCCTCTGATGTCTGAGAATTCGATTTAGACCTTAATATATTTTCTGTAAGTATACTTGACGATGACGATTTGCTTTTCTGACATTTTGAACTTTTACGTTTAAAGTTTGATTTGGATTCTGAACTGTACTGAGTCTTTTTAGACATATCAGTTGGAATTGATTTACTACCCTTTTTAGAACTTTTTGAATGCGTCTGTAAAATATCCTCAGAAACTTGTGATGATTTTGATGTTTTCGACACAGTGTCTTGGCTGAGAGAACTTATTTCTTCTGGAGCACTTTCGCTATTCATGCCAGTAGTTTTCAAAGACTCTCGTTCTCTTGGCGATATTATATTTTGAAAATGATTATCTATCATTTGAGAAGATTTCGATTTCTTTGACAACTCTTCTATTAAAGTATCCGATTCTGATTTAATTTGTTCAGACATAGATTTACTTAAATTCTGTTGTAGCAGTTCCGAAACATCGGGAGATTTGTCTTTTTCGAAAATATATTTTCCAGGACTGCTCATGGAATGACTTGACATCAGAGTTGGATCAGAAGAATGCTGATGCGATTTCAGCCTTAAAATATCTGCTTTAGGCATTTTTTCTTCAAACTTTCTTGATTTTATCTCATACTTTGATTTGGTTCCATCTTTTTGTATCTTATAAGGACACTTTTCTGGAGATATGTTACCCTGAATGGGTTCATTAGGTTTATCAAACCTTGAAAATGGTGCGTTAGATTCTTCAACAAAATTCGTGAATTTATTACTTTTCGGTAAATCAATTTTAGAAAAATGTAACTCGTTTTCGGACATTTGCAAACGCGTATCTGTCTGAGATCTATCATGTTGAGATTTGTCAGAATCAACTAAAGAACTCATAGAGCTATTACTTCTTATATCATAACCCTTCATTGGACCAGATAATCGTCTTGGCGACTGACTATCCGCACTCCTTTTTAATTTTGTTAAAATGTTTTTAGTTGACATTTGAGGGTTGAACATATTCCTTTGTTTTTGCAACATAAGTTTACGCTCTTGGCTTGCAATTTTATGTAGTTCTTTCAATCTGAAAGTTTAAAAAAAAAACAAAAAGATTTTATAAATATGCACAGAAGCTCTTAACAGTAACAAAATGTATTATAATATAAATTACCATACCTGTTCATTTCATCCTTTTCTTGTTGTAATTTTAACAACAGAGCTCTTTGCTTCTTTTTTACAGAACTAACTCTGCTATCCTGGCCAGTATCTTTTAATGCTCGCTTTTGCTCTTCCAATTTGACTAATTTTTTCGTTTGATCATTTAATGTTTTTTCGCGAGATTTAAATAACATTTCTATTTTATCGTACCTTTGTTTCTCATCTTTGATCAACTGTGCAATCTGTATAGACACGAAACATTGAATTCAAGTACCTTTCCAATACAGAAATTTCAATTAAATCATTTTACTTACTTCTAGGTCTAAGTATTTATTAAAAGAACAAGTTACATCTCGAGTGGAAATACTAATCTCGGTTCCAGTTTCTGTTCGTATAGATGACGTAGTTTCGTGTAAACTTATTTCTGACAATGTTCTTAATTTACTAGGCAATGATATCTCTTCTATCTGATCTAAGTCTTCAAACTGTTCCACTGAATCTAACGAAAGTTGTGGAATTTCGCTGTCTCCAACAAATCCTCGTTCATACGGGGTTCCACATATTTCTGAACATCTACTCTGTACATTTCGTCGAGTTGAACGCATATCTGTTTGTGTTGCTATATCATTTACCGTTTGAGTTTGTACTTCCACAGCTTTAACTGCTGGTTTACTTAACGTACTAAAATTGTCAAACTTATTTCCTGTAGTTTGACTTGTATGATGCATCGTATTTGGAAATGCTTAAATGATATATAGATAATTTTATTAATAATTAGTTTTAATAAAAACGTCACAATTAACATACCGATTTCTTACCTTTGTCAGTAGAAACACTTGCATGTGATTTAATTTCATTACAATGTTCCATGTTATCAACATTCTTTTCATCCTTAGAGAAATGTAATTTCACTTGGTCACTCAGTTGGTTATGCTGTAACGGTAACTCTTTTTCTTGATTTTGTTTAACATTATATAAACATTTTTCAACATCCATAACCTGCCTCAGTGACTCATTAAATGAATCAAGAAGATGCAACTCAGCTTGAAATTGCATATGTAAGGCAGTTGGATGCAACTAAAATTGTAAAATTTACTTATAACGTATTTATAAAATAAAGAAAGCAACAATAAACTTACCAATGGAATTCCTTCTTTTTCTGTTTCAATTTTACCGGTATTATGTTTTGAACATTTAGGATCAACTTCTATGTTACTATTTTGTATAAATTGCCTTTTTCGTTTAGATCGCGGTATGAGATTCATATCCGGAGTTACTAAATTACAAAATTCCTCTTGCGAACGGTTTTCATCTCTGAATGAAATTCTTCTTGGATCTAATAATTTATCAGATAAGATACTGCTATCGTTTAAATTAGATTCATTACTATTACTTGTTGCTGATTTAATTGTACCAATACTTTGTGTATACGATTCTTCTTCTTTTTTTGTGTTTGTAGCAATACACTGTGACGAAGAATCATCTGTATATTTTAGATCTTCATTATTTTTATTCGATTTAAGTATATTAGTATTTTGTGCAACTTTTTCGGAATCCTTGTTTTTTACTTGCTGTATAGAAATAATACTTGGGCTTTGAGTTCGTACAATTGTATTTGAATCCGTCACACTTTCAACACCTTCCGATTCTTTGGAATTTATAATATATATTTTGTTATCCATTTTATTTATAGAAGGTTTTATTTTTTCTGACAGTCTTTTAGTTTGCTCTTTGAAAGGTACATTTTCAATTTTCGCTTGAGACTGATATGTTACTTTGTGCTGTTTTACTTGTCTGTTTTCCATAGAAAATATATGTTTCTGATCGTTAGCCTGTTTTAACATATGTAGATCGTCATTGTATCTATAATCAAAATGTTCAAACATGTTTCTAGACTCTCTAATTGTAACTTTGTCTGATAATTTTGAAGAATACTCGGAAAGTGACTCGTTACTGCAAGATCTATTCTTAGATTCCAAAGAAACATCTCTTGATTTTAAAGATCTAGTATTACTAGATCTATGCCTCTTGTCATTGGTCTTTTTAACAGTTGAAGTTGCAAAATTTTTTGTTTTTGGTTTTGTTAAAGCAAAATCACTCTCTCTTGGTATGTACAATGGCAATCTATCGCTCTTTAATTTTACAACTGATGCATTCTCGCACACGTTATTAGAGAAGTCTTTTCTAGAAACATGCCTTGGGCTTCTAGATCTTTTAAAAAAGTCTTGTGTTGCTTCATCTTGCTTGAAGGATAAAGAATCGTCTTTTCTAATTCTTTTAGATCGGTTCTCCTTTTCTCGAGAATTTTCTCTAATGTAGTCTTTTTTTCTTGATAAATTTGATGACATAGAAATATTTGGGACCCTCAATGGCTCTACCTCGCTGTTGATTGTTGATGAAACATCTGACGTTGAGAAGTCTAATCTTCTTTGAACTCTTTCAAAACTCTTTGTTGGTTTATCTGCTCTTTCATGTATCAATTCTTTTGAAGGTGTTTCAAATTTTGGTGATATTACATCTTTTGATACAGAACTTTCTCTGTCAGAGAAATCTAATTTTTTTGCAGAAATTTTCAAATCTGGAACTTTTAGTGGCCTTATAAAATCCATCTTTTGTAAATTCTGATCACTATCTGGCTTTAATACTGTTATAGATGATTCAGGTAGATTTTTATTATTCTGATCATATGCTTTTTTACAAACTTCTGAACCATTGTCTAAAGCCAGCTTCCGTTTGACAGCATTTATAAATGTAAAAGGATATGGTTGTATAGGATGATATAAATTTTTAAAATCTTTCAAGTTAAATTCAATTGGCAAGTTTGATAGTTTGTCCTTAGGTATTTGCTTAGTAATGTGATCTGGTTTTTGTTCGCATTCAAGAGCTTGAGCTGCCTAAAATGATACTTTATTAGATCACAGCTCAATATTTATAATAGCACAAAAACTGCTAACTGTACTTACTGCAACAGATGCTTCAGCACACTGAACAATAATATCTGGATCAGAAAAAAACACATATTTCTTTTTCTTATCAGTATCTTCCTTCTTAGAGCTGCTTTTCATATTATGTTATTTGCATATTTATTGATCTATATTTAGTTGGTAAACATTTATTCATGCTTGCAAATATTTACAGCAACTACAAACATTAAAAAACATTTATTGCACATATTTTAAAAAAGATTTATTTACAATATCAAATTTTTCTTGCAAAATAATCTTTTATAGTCATTACTATAGAAATATAAAGTATATGTTATTAATTGCTAAACCAAAATAAATTTAATTCTCAATATTACGAGCGAGATAAACTGAACAATATGCGTCTCCAATTCATGCAAGTTTAAGAAAACAAAACTATTCTATAGTTTAATAGCAATCTTCACACATTAATATATTAAACTTACATTGGATTATTTAATAAAAATATAATTAGACGTAGTAAAATAACGAATTTACGAAAAAGACGATGAGAAACATTTAACGTATTTATAACCTATTTCAAGACACCATATTTTATGAATACATCTTACAAAATCAATTCTTCAACATTTGATACAGAATGACAGATATATTTTGAAACACCCGATGAAAAATTATATTTACATACGTTACACATCATTCATATTTTCATAATATTGAACAGGATAACTCATCACAACGGTCATTTGTAAACGACAATCACGTGGTATTGTACTTTGTGATTTGCTACTTGTACAAAATTGAAAACATGGCAACGAGAAAACATGAATGATCAATAACACAATTATTTATAAACACAATGCATATGTTAGCGACATAATAAATGTAATTTTATTCGTGAATGCAATTAACGTTGCACAAACTTTTATTTATCACGTGAAATTCTGTGGAAACAGAACTATAGATAAAAAGAAGCGGCAACCGTTTATAATATTAAACGGAAATATATTGGTCGCCCTCTTTTCAACGTCTTAAATTTTTGCAATTCTATCAGTTCTGGCAACATCAATCCCTCATAGCATGAAGTGAGTCGTAAATATCGAATATTATATAAAAAATTAACATTTGTAAATATTAATAAATTGAAAAAACCGATAACAATTTTTAATTAAACAATAGCGATTAAATACATAGAAGAAAACTATAACATAAAATATTATACATGAAAAAAAGTAAATAAGAAATTGATAAAATGTTTTTTAAAAGTTATAAAAATAGATAAAATAGTACCTTATTTTAAGCTATTTTTGTTAAAATAGAGTACCGATAAATATTAAAAACTACACGGAAACTATAGAGACTATACCGCAGTTCATCAGAGTCCATAACTGCGACACGCAGGTTGAAAGATGGTGGGGGAACGCAGCAAGCTCTCTGCTAATCGCTTTCCACTTCGTTTGAGAGTATCGCCAATCAGGGCGAAGATGCGTACTGGAGAAGCGCGAAGAACGAAAACTGGTCTTTTCGCAGTTATGGACTCTGGTGAACTGCGGTATACATACACAGACTTATCATCGAAGTATGGATAGATCTATTCTATACTTTACGCACTTGAATTTTATGTGTTACACATGTAAATATATATGACAATTGAAGTGCTCGTGTATTAGTAACGCATTCACGAGGATCCGTAATTGATATGGAATAAAATACAATTAGTTTCTAATAATGGCTTTGATATTACGAAACTGCATTTTGAGCCAAAAGAAACGGTTTGTACATGAATTTTTATTATTCCATCATAGTGTTAGCAGTCATACGTTCAACAGTAACAACGTTAAGGTTAGAATACTGTTCTTAAAATCTTTCATTATATTAATGAAATAACTAATGATTCTATTCGGAAAGTTTGAAAAATTTATATTCATTATTATTTCATAATCAGTACCATTTAATCATGCGCGGTTTCTGTTAAAATAATAATAAAAGTAATCGTGTTTAATATTTTAGAAATTTGGATCGCTTTTGTGTGCGAAACATTTTTCTACAAAAAATGATGGGAATTCGGATAGAGAGCTTATTTACGAAGGATATTTAACAAAACGAATTCGTAGACTTAAACTCTTTTCTTTCTTCACATCAGCTGGATCAATAATTTCACTACCCGCAATTTATATGAAAGCTGTGCACGATGATAATTTAGCAAATGTGGGTATAATGTTTGCACTTTTAAATCTTGTTCTAACATTGACTCCATTATTTATACATCTCACAACAAAAAGATATGTGACCGAAATGTACTATTATCCAAAAGAGGATATGTATGCTGCAAACGTATATGGCCTGTTTCTTAACAAAAGACAGGTATATAATTATAAAAATTGTTTGAATTCTGTTGATTTATTTCTTCTTAAATTCATTAACTTGTAAATTATTATATACGTGTTTCAGCTAAAGTTTACAAAGGATGATGTAGATGTACCTGAATCAGGTGGAATGCTCACATCTTGCAAGATACACGGAAAGCCATTGCTTTTCGGTGAAGAAGATTTCAAAGATAATAGACATTATTTTATTATTATGGGGTATAACGAGCCAATAGATTTTGAGATGGGTACAAATGCAGCTAGTACAGGGAAAATCGATTTAGATTTGATACGAGAAAAATTAAAAAATTATGAAAAAGATCACAAGCAGATAGAGAGTAAAGAACTCGAACGAAACGAACGTGGAATTTAAAGTAGTTTAAAGTAATTTCATTTATTACAGTTTCTTAATCTAAAACTTTTATACATTACTTAAAAGTACTATATACGTTGCTAGATACAAAATATGTACAGTACATTATTATGTAGAGGTTCTATACTGAAAAATAGAGTACCAAATTACTAAAACACAATGCAGATAAACTTCGTCATTGTCTTTTTTAATTAAACCCAATTAGCAAGAGAACTACACATCTCCAGTCGATATTTATAAGTTTGAATGTACAGTTCGTAAATAAAATATGTTACAAGCACAAATAATTTAAGTTGATATTGAAATTTTGAAAAACTAATAAAAGCATATAAATATAAGATAGTAACTTAATTATAGAATCAAGCGTTTTCTAAATATAGCCTCCGGATGTAATAATAAACTATAGAAGCAACATAATGTAATTTGGTAACCGTGCAAGAATGGCGGATACATACATTATTAAGAGATCACAGATTATAATCATAACCTTTGAATTCATTTCAAAGGCATGAGCAAAACAGTTATGCCGAGTTAATTGTGCAATCATCGTACACTAAGCTGGGAGTAAATCAAAGTCATCCGAAACGTGTACCATTGGAACATGAATATCTTCTATTTGAGGTGTTGCTTTGAATTCGCATAATCCAACTTCTTTCAATTTCCACTCCCAATCCATTCTCTGCACAGCATGCAATGATTCTGCTTCGTTGTGATGTCTGAGTAACATTGCTTCCTAGAATAATAATTTTAATTACATTACTTTATAAATTAAAGTTTAATGGTAATTAAATTGATCATTGTGTTACGTCTTTTTAAACCGATACGTATAAAGAAAACTTATCAGTCGGTTTTAACGTAACATAAGTTAATTTAACCTGAATAATTGAAGACAATGCATAGAATCACCGATGTCTACACAATAATTCAGGTACAAATATTAATACGATTATTTAAAACCTTAATTTACCTTAATCTTTTCCCATTTGTCATCCACATCCTGTAGCCAGCTCAGGAACAGTCTGCCATTGTATCTGCTCCTCGCGTTTCTATCTTTTTCTTCTTGTTCTGGAGTAATAACATTATAAACTTCTTCGTCCTTTAATATTGTACAAACAGAAAATGGAAGAGATTGATTAGCAAGAGCCCTAGCTGCTCTACCATGTACTCTAAGAATCTCCTGTTCGACTGATAAAACTAATTTTTCTTTTTCAACTACATGCTGCATTCTAAGACGATATCTTTCTTTTTCTTGTTCAATATACAAGTCCTTCATAGGGCCTTGTAATCCAACGGGGGGATTAACGTTTGGCTCTTTATTAGCATTTCCAGCCAATACGTATGTACACCGATTCATTAAATAATCCTTGAAGCCCTGAGGTGGTTTTGGTTGCACCGGGAAAAGGCCTTTTCTTCTTCGTTCAATCTAAACAAGTAAAAAATATTTCTCATCCCATAAGAATTGTAAAGATTATAGAAAAGTTATAATTAATAAAAATACAAACTTGCTTCCTGATGTTTAAAAATAATTGATAACAATTAGTAATGGGTTGATCGTGCGGATGAACTTCTGGACCCGCGTTAGTGGCTTCAGATGTTTCATTGGACGCAGCTGTGGCAGCTTGTTGTGCTTCTTTATTAGGTTTCATTTTCCTTTTCCTAGGATGAAGTTCAACAGGTGGAGCCGGGGTGCTTACATTTGATGTCGTCGATGAGGTAGTTGTAGAAGTGCTTTCCGAATTTTCTGTTCCGTTATCTTTCTGACATTTCCCCCCAGTATTTTCAGTATTTTTCTCTGACTTTTCTGTCGCTGTATTCGCCTTCGAGGCGGTGTTACTATTCGAAGCTTCTGTCGACGTATTTTTATTCGATTCAGAACCTGTTGTTTCAGGCGTCGGCGAATGATGTCGTTGTTGCGGAGAGGAATTATTAGAACGATCAGTAGTAGTTACCGGCAGTGGCGAAGAATTCGAATAATTTCCATTACCCGAGGAGGCAGAGGTTTCTTTTAAAGTCGTTGATCCATTACCACCGTTACCGGATCTATGCGAACTCCGTAGCACTCTCTGATGATGCGTCGATCTTTCTTCCCCGTGTAAAGCACCGGTAAAATCTTTTTTATCCTCGCTTTTCGTATTACTCCCACTTTCTGTGGGGCTCGTTGTACCGCTAGCGGACTGACTTTGATCTTTATCCGTAGAATCATTACTATTGGAACTCGCGACTACGTAAGGTAATTGATGACTTCTATTAGACGTGTTTTTCCCATTTCTGTTACCCTGTTCTTGTTCAGAAGTGGTACTTTGCGGAATAACTATTTTTAAAGGCGGTACTTTAGGAGCTGAATTGGAGTCGGAACCTTTCGATCGATCATCCTCGCCGTCGGATTCAGCTGGGGCCGGTGTAGTTGTTTTGGTATTAGTCGTTGTACCAGAAGAGTTTGAAGGCTTCGGACTGCTTGCTATCGAAGAGTTACTCGGACTTTTTCTATCTGTACTAATCGAAGCGGTATTTTGATTACTTTTACCAGAAGTTGTGCCAGACCCTTGCTTAGCTGATTTCGTACACTTTAAGGAAAAACAGAAATGTTATATAAATTAAATTATTTAATTCTATTACATAAGCTGGAACAGATAATATTTACCTTATCCGTTGTGTTGGCAGCATTTCTACCCGTGCTTTGTCTTCCAGTGGTTGTGCCTTTTACATTTTCTTTCACAGGTTCCGAATCCTTTCGTTTTTTCCGCCGATTTTCTTCGTCTTGCTCTTCCGTATTATCGCTTTCAAAAGCACGTTTGGACGAAGGCGAGGCTGAAACCGTAGGGGCATCGTCGCTGGTTATCGACGTGGTCGTTGTTTCACCGGAAGATGATGTCGCGCTACCAACGGTAGACGCGTTGTTACCACCGCTTTGACCCCCTTGATTGCTAGCAGATTTGCTGCCATCTTTATCTTTTTCGGAATTTGGATTCGGCGAAGAACTTGCACCTCTCACTGGTGTTGGCTCTTTCGAACTTTTGAATTCGTACACGTCGCCACTGTCACCAGTTGACGATGATGTGTTCCCAGAGGTAGCAGAACCCGAGGCGGCATTTACGGTCCCCGACGAGACGTTTGACGTCTTTGATGAATTTTCCATTTGACCTTGATTCTGCAAATATTGCTTTTCTTTTTACAAAATTCGAAAATCTATAATATCGGAAATTTCTTAAAACTTTAACTTCTATGTCAAATTATATTATTTTCATTTTTTAAATTTTACATCGTTCTTCTAAAAATGATACATTTAATCATAGGTTAATATCTATGATTACATTTTGTAAGTTTAGGTCACCGTTGACCCAGGCTACGCTGTTTAAGGGTTAAACAAATCAACATGATTTTCATTTCATTTTTAATGCATCTTTATTTCATCTTTACCTTTAATTAATTTACGTTTAATTAATTGTAATCGAACACATATTTGTACCTATGATAAAATTAAAAACCGCGCGCTCTCAACTATCCCATACATGCAGTAGTTGTACCTGTGCGTTCATGCCGCCCTGACGGGAATTAGCAGCGCTCCCTCCTTTCTTCTCATCCCTCGCTCCGCGCACCTGGTTGAGTCGAAGCGTCACCCTCGGCGAGCTTCCAGACTGCCCGGTTCCCGATCTATCAACTGTGAAGAACAAAATGCCGGCGGTTAATCGGTAAGAACGACAAAGGAATGCTGCCGGAGAGAACGGATATCCCTCACGAAAGTAAGTGTATTCCTCTTCGCGCACCGAGGTAATATGTACTCGGAGGAAGGCCGAAGAAATCGAGAAGAGAAGGTGGCTGGGTAGGAGGAGGTGGGAGATGGAAGGGGGCATATATTCGAGGAGAAAAAGACGGTGAGATAGATTCAGAAGGGAATAAACCGCTGGTTGGCGATCATCAGGAGATGGCCGTTAATCACGGGACGGACCCGAGAGAGAGAGAGAGAGAACGAGTTCCTCGAGGAAAGTGGGGATCCCGATCTGCGATCGATTCATTAATGGCTTTTCGCGTCGCTGCAGTGCGTCGCGGCCGGTACGAAAAAGTGGTGGAGCTTACCGGCCGATGCGATGGAATCGGGTCTTGATCTCTCCGAACCACTTACTTACTTTCAGCTTGCAGCTGTCAGGAGATAAATTTTATTTCTTCTCTAAACACCGTTCTGATGTTTTCATAGTAGATATACACACTGGTATCAGTGAAAACCTTCGAGATTATTTTTCGAAACAATTCCAATAAAATTCAATGCTTTCAGATTAAGTAACAGCCACATATAACAGTAAAATTACCATCTACGTGACAGGCATGCATTCATTCGTTACCAGTGTAAAACTCTACCCCTTCTTGACCCTGTGCCGTCCCACGAGACTTCTTGTGAGCGGAGAATGTCTTAATTAGGGTATGGTTAGCCCGCGAATTTACAAAGAAAACAGGAAGAAAATGGATTCAACAACGGTGAGCAATAATACTATGGCTTATCGGCGGTTTCACGGAACGCTTGTTTCGGGAGATTCGAGGATATCCCCTCGTGCAATGTTGAAACCGAGGCTGACGCAAGCTCTGCTCGATCAATATGTAATTGAATCTACGAGTTAACGCAACCGTCACCATAATTACAGAATTCGGATCGATAAATGCCGAAATACATTGATTCTCTGCGAAAATAGTATGTATTTTTATTTATTAATAGTATGTATGTATTGGTCATTGATCGTACCACCCCCTCCCAGCTTCCCTTTCTCTATCACCATTGGAAGAGGGAATTGTGCCAATTGCAAATGCAATAATTTGCAAATAGTATATCCCAAAATACATTAAGTCCGCTAGTCAATGAAGTCGTGACTGTTCGCTGCCTTAACGACGTTAACGATTCACGGAAATCAATTATTTCTCTGTACACGGAGTCAATGTTTTCTAACGAGTTCGTAATCCAAATATACTGGTTTGAAAGTGGATTTTTCATTTTATTAGAAACATATGTAGAACGAATAAATAAAAATCTTATAATAAAATTATTTTTTGTTTACGATTATTAGTAAAAGAAATAAGTTTGTTTCATAATTTTGATTTAAAGTTCAGTAGAATATTCAGTGCCGGTAATTGGAAGTGAAGAACACTCTTTTCTAATCTTTCGTGGATACGGCATGTTTGTCAGCGGTACCGCCATTGGCGAAGCGAGCACACGTAGCGTAATATCGCGCAGAAAGAGAGTACATATTTGTAGAACATTCTTACCACGAAATGACGATATGCAAATATCACGGTGTATTCGCGTACGTGCTTCTCAGAATGGAACGTATATTATTTCGTAGTGTATTCTGCCTTCCCACTTCCTGCTGCACGCGAGATCTGTCTTCCAGTATTCCAGTTATCGATGCGTTAAAAAGCTACGGGCTCACTATTAATTAACGTGCAGATACACACTAAATTACTTACAATTAGAAAAAGTCAACAGCGCAAGATCGATTCGAAAGATCAATCAACTCGGTATAAATATTGGCTAAATCAAACATTGCCGGTCGATAAGATATCCGAAATACGTAATTTTATAAAATACACACACGTTGTCTTATTTCAGTCGATATAAGCGTTCAGTAATAGATTATTTCTACTTTTTTCGTTCCTGACCTTGCAAAGCGATCGAGAACGAGTTTTTAACCGACGTCAAAGATACTGCACACGCTTTTTGGCCGATAACGTAGCACGTTTTATCGCGTACTGCTTTGCCAGCGAAGTTCATTAACTTGCTGCAGTAAGCCGTACAGCTGAAGACAAACTGATGCAAAACAATTGTTTTAAAACTAAATTTTCTTCCATATAAATCAAAATTTATATAAGTATATACATATAATACGTAATTATAAAATTCAATGAATAATGTTGTTGATACTGTAATTATTTTGAAAAAAAAAGAAAAAAAAAAAACAAAGGATTGAGATTAACTTTCCAAGTATTTTATATTGGACGATTAATTACCGAGGTATTTCGATTTAAATCTACATACATAGTTATCGGTTAGCGCAATGTCGAAATATGTCACAAAGAGAATCAAGGTCAGCCTAAATACTGCTTTGTAAAGCGTCGCGCCGTTTCCTCCTACGGTCTGCTGGTTTATACGAAGATTAGCATATCACTTAAGCTGAAGTTTAAAAGATTTCAGTTACATTGAAAGCGAGCACGGAACACGCTATATCGTGTTTCAGACATGTTCCACGAAACGCACGAGACAAAGTATGTAACCGGTTCTGATCTCACTACATGTACATTTAATTGCCGCAGTTAAATATTCCCAAGCCTTCGATTTAACTTCGTTAACGACCAATAAATTCTAGCGACAGTATTAGCACTGTCAACGCGTTAGCGTTAACACATTCCGTGTCGTCGATAACGAAACCTGAATATTAATTACGAGGGTAAATCATTTAGACGTCTGTCCTCTACTTGCAACTTTGAACAGTGCATCGAGTAATTTCTAACGCGTTGATATAAAAACAAAGAGATGTAAATATTTCGTGGAAGTTGGTTAGAAATTGGTGTGTTGTTGCAGCAACGGCAACATAGACCCCTTTCGGTGGAGGTACGATCACCCTAGTGGTGTCGATGGACGCAGTCCGCGAGCGCAAACGTGTCCAATGTACTTGCCAGTCAGCATGTTTCCTCTCGCTTGTTCCACAACTTCTCCCTCTTTTTCTCCCCTTCCTCTCTCGCACTCCTTTCTCTCTCACCTTTGAGAAGTCTGCCTTTGTCCCTCTCTTCTTCGACAACGAAGACCAGAGGAGATGTGTTCCAAGGTTCGGCACTCCCGTTTCAACGAGCTGCTTCTTTTAGTAGCGAGGTTAATCGAAGTAAACGAGACAATAGGAGAACACGGCGCAGGCAAGTAAGAAAAGTCGAAACACGCGCCGAGCCACGTGGTCGTCAGTACTTTCTGGTAACGGTACTTTTGGCTCATCCAATAGCGACAAGAGGGGACGACCCGAGCAAACAGAAACGTAGCCACGAATGCATACCTGGCTCACGCGACAAAGGCACTGACAATACGTACCGTAACGTTAAAGGTTTCGATATAGCACTAGGAGAGGACTAGAAGGACAATGACGATTACCGCGACGACGACAAGAGAGGTTCAGTAGCCGCGGCAGCAGCGTGTGTATACTACTGCCGCTTGCACAGCTCCCACACAACGCGCGAAAGCGAAGACACTGAAAACTAAGAGAGAGAGAGAGAGAGGAATCGGATCGCGACTGTGTCGCCGCGTCTCCGTCTCGACCAACTTCTCTACCAGGCGCAGCACTGCATCGCGCGCACGATACCAACGCGTCACTACTCGGGAATGTCACGTCTAATTAAGTGCTGTTTCTGCATCGCTCGCTATTATTACCGATCAGTGATGATTGTACACTTGCGCGTATCTACATAATATGTGAACGATGTGCTGTGTGTACGCGCTTATACGAATAAACTAAAAACGTATTGAATATTCATAAGGAATTTATATTCCTGTGTAAGGAAAAGGTTTTCTTGATTAATTACGAGAATTTATGGGGAGGGATTGCGCAACGTAATAAAAATCTGTTCCGTGATACTATGACATCTAATCATATTGAAAGAAATATAAATAGCAATCTCTTTCCCCTACAATGGTCGCATGCCTTTCTGAATAAAAATACAGAATGCTGTACTTGCTATGTAATATGCAAATACTTTTCTTGTATATGTATACTTTCATGCTACTTATTTTACTTGAAAATTAACTTTCAACTTAAAATAAACTTTAACTTTCTAACGTTAATTTTTTAAAATAAAAATTCAATTAATGATGAATCAAACCGCATCAAAGCAACGCAATTATACAATTATACAACATTGAAGATTTATGAGAAGCAACTTGGAACAAACGAAAATCGATTGTTATTTAAATTTTATATTTCGTATTATGTTATAAATGAAGCTGTCATTTAAAAAAAACGGTATATTTTTATTACGTGTTGATGTTTTTTGTCACATTGGACGAATGGACTGATTAGTGCTATGTCGGTAAATATGAACTTTGTTACGTCGGTAAAGAAACATAGTATAAATAATTATTAATTATCAAACTAATTTTGACACATTGAAAAATTAGAAACCTTACTTAATTTTAAAAACATTTTTGAGAACCGTTATTTTACGTTATTGTACAGCACAGAAATTAAGCATCACATACAATTATTTAATGTCGGAGTAATTTTCACGGAAATACAAAACAAATTCTTTCAAGTTTCATAACTTCATATTTTTTTAATTAATTTTAACAAAATGAGTTGTCTACAAAACTGAAAACAAGATGTGATTACAATCATTCTATGTTGTACCCAAATTCGTATAAAAATTGAAATTTTCATTTGGCAATGTTTGTTTAAAATAACAATACGCCTATTTCGTATGTGACACGCAATAAGTGAACTCACCTTTATTTTGCGGTGGTGTCCTCCGCATTTCACAGGGGGCTCCACTGTCTTCAGCAACGTGCGGTGCAGCGGCTGGCGCACTTCCGGTCGTACGTTGCTGTTGTTGAAACTGAGAATGATGTTGGTAAGGCTGTTGTTGTTGCTCCTGCTCCTGTTCGTTTGACGGCGCTGCTGCGCTCGTTTCACCCGGAGAGCATGGGCTATTAGGGGCGACTGTTGTACTCTCATCAGGTGAACTTGCACCTGTAATATCTGTGATCACAAATGAAACGGAAATAAACGATCATGGATGTGCTCTTGCAATTATCATGCTAAATTGTTAATGCCTAATATCAATTTCAATAAAAGTGTGATACAGAAGTGATATAATAAACCAATTGTTCAAGGTAAATGTTTAGTAGAATATACAAGCAATTTCTAGTGCTATACTTCTTCGTTATACTTCACAGTAACTTGTTCAATATTTTATATTTTAAATAAACAAACTAACATTTATAGGTTATATTATTTCAATGCTTTGATCCCACTAAAGTCTATATATGTTATTTATATACACAATATGAACACTTAAAACACGGAAACTGTACTAATTATCAACCTTCAAAAAAAATTGCACACTTCTAACGTATTTCTATCTGTGATATTTGATTAGTATTTTCACAGTTTTGTTTATTTTTCGTAGATTCTTATAATAAGAACACGCACGTAGTTTAGCAGTAATTAATTGGCAAAAGGCGACACCTTTACGAACAGAGGAAGGTCCAACGAGGATTTATGATACTTCAAAATATGATGGATGAGCTATCATCGTTCTTGATATGCATCTTCTAAAGCTCAATATACCGGCAGTTTGAAGTGTTTCGTTTCAATTCATTCTCACAAATGCTTTTGACGGTATTGACATTTGATCACTTTTTTTTTGTTTTTTTGTTTTTTTGTTTTTTTCTAATAAACGGATTTCTTCTTGATTTTCTTTTTTATTCTTGTGGGACCAATTGTCACACTGATCTTGATGATTCAAAGGCGGTCAGGGCGACATCTGTCGGTCCGCCGGGGGAAAGTCCGTACGCGTACGTGCTCGACGTGCACGCGAACACGGCCCCTCGCGAACTAGAGGCCATGTTGCGTCCCTATGTCGATGATTGGCCCCGCCTTTCCCCGCGACTCCCCACCAACGGGGAGCCACAGCGCTCTTTTTCGCCAATCCGAATCAAGCTGATCCCGCCAACGCCAATGTCGCTCGTACCGCTGTACAAGACGGTCCGTGAAATCTATGGTTGTGTGCATTCTACACACTGCAAAAAAGGCGCACAGTTGTGTATATTCGATGCTGATGGGTATACCTAACCATACATGTCCTATAGCTGCATCCTGTAACTGCACATGTGTCAGTGGCAGCATTTCCTCACGTGCTGCTGCTCCTGCGCTCAGCACACCAGTCACATTATCGCTTACTTTTCGAGCGTGTCCGCGCGCCCTACGCCAAATAGAGCTGTAGAAGAGTACAAGCCTTCGCTTATGTAGCAAAGAAACAAGCGAAAACTTTGTACTTTTTCGTAAAACGAAAATACCATTTTTTGCCTCGTTTCTAGACTAGACAGGAATAAGACGATGCAATCAAAATAATTCCTTCGAATACAAAACTTTTCCAAATAAAAGAAATTAATATTTTAGACACATACATAATACGTATAGCGAGGTATAATGAACGACTTGTCGATCCATGATTGAACGGACTAGAGTCAGTGTGTAATAAATCAAGATGGCCGCACGCATTTCCCCAAAAACGAGGAAGGTCAGTGAAAAACAATTTTTTCAGATGCAGCAGATGAAATCAACGATCTCCGTTGATGTCATATACAAAAATGAATGAAGAACAGAGTAAATAGATGATATGTAGGGAATAAGGACAAAAACGTACAACAAAGAAAGTGCAGAAAGCTTGAAATAGTAAAAACGCATTTCGGTGGGATGCAAAACTAACTGCAATGAGAAGAAGACTGGTGCTCGGTTGATGCGTGGCTTACTGGTGAATGCGAAAGAGACGAGATACACATGAAAAGCAACGTTTACTTTAAAGGAGATAGACTAGCACGATTGTGCGATCACCTTGCTTTTTTCGTTCTCTGTTCCCCCCCACCCCCTTGACTACCAATTTCATCGAGTGTTTGTCTCCAGACAAATACCACGAAGATGATCGATAGAAAAGCCTGAATTTCTGAACAGTAGCATTTTCCCAATATCAATTCCCCCTTCCTGCTCGCACCTTCTGCTCTCATCGTTAAAACCGTATTGAAATATTTGTCTTTTCCATAAACACTGCCAATGATTATTTTTATACAACGACATGGTTAACCAATATTAAACGTTCCATTAAGTTGATGACTTCAAGTATGCTGTCATAAATTATGGCCGAAGATGTTACGTGCTACATACTATTCGTCTTATTAAAATTTAATGGACAGATTTTTATTCACGACCTTATGTAAATATTTTCTTTCGCATTAATTATTTTAAATGATTTATTATACCATGCAAGACTACCTGAATAATGTTTGTATGTACACGATTCATATACAAGAGGGTCGAATAGGAATATCCTGCGAGAAGTTGCGACATTTGTCGGTTTTATTCTCGATCGATATCTCTGTCGTTAGAATAAGGCTGGGCCATTTATGGTCAAAGATGGAACACGTCGTCTTCCAGGATTCCAACATTCTATTTTCGTGTGTCTCCTGCATACATACATTTTTTCAGTAAAACGAATTTCACTTTATACAAAACGGCGATATATGTACATAGAAAGAGAAATGATCAGAAACTAACTTTTGTATCATTTCGATAAGAAATTTTTTTAAGAGCGCAAAAATTGCTAATCAATCTCAGAATAAGGCTAGATTGTAGTTATAAGTTTTCTCGATTTACCTACAGGACAGTAATATTAACGATAAGAAGAAAATGTTGTTCAAGGTTTGCACTTGAAATTTATAGCCGATGCTTGTTCTTGCGATGAACTTGAGCTCGACTTGATAGTTTTGATCATTACCTACGGTTCGTTCGTAATATGTAGTCAGCTGGTAGAAAACGTGCAAGCATTCTAATATAACGGATTCGGATAATTTTAATATGTACCGAAGGATGAAGTTGAATGAGTACTTAATGAACATCCTAACGGAGGTGATAATTTTTTAAACTATCTGAAAGATGGAAGTAATAAAGATTTGATGGAATACGGAAATTTTTATGAACCGTTTACTTTCAAAGAAGACAATTATTTTTTGAAGGATTCTGAAATTATTTTTAAATCAGTTCAGACTATCAGAGCCCAAAGAAATAAATTTGTTTTAATTAGTAGTTAGATTGGATTCTGCGATAAGTTATCTTGAGGATGTTAGAAGCAACATTCAAATTATTTAAATTTATTTCTCTTTACTACTAAACTAAATTGTGTGATAAACAAAGCCCGTCGTTCTTTGAGTGGTCTATCGGCTTTAAAGACACGGGCGGCGCCCGATACCGCCTCCGCTCCTCACGGTGATTCGATGAAAACTACACTCGCTTTAATTACGTTACACTAAAAATTCGACTTGGAAAGTTAGATCAATTACCTGTCGATATATTAATATCTGATCAACGCGGACTTTCCTATTAGACAAGGGAAGAAATATAATCAAGAAATATGAAAATATCAAAAACTAATTTGAATATTTATGTAAAGAATTTTTGTGTGTACACACCAAAACGAGATTAACATTTCTAGGGCCCGGGACTATCAAGCTTTTAACAACTCTAGGTTGATAAACTTGCTTCGAAAATTGAAATTTATTCTAAATAAAATCGAATAATATTTAATCGCAAAGAAAAAGAGTAAATTTTTTGGCACATTAAATCGAAAGCTTAGAAGGGGATCCCTCTTAAACTTCCCCTTGATCTGACATTGCTATACACGTGTAAGTACCTACATTGAAATATTAAAATCAGTATACGTTTAATATGAATAATTAACTACGTAGAACCAAACGAATAAATTATACGTAGCTTTATAAACCATTTACAGTTACATATTCCTATAACATAAAATTCAATGTTTCAAGAACAATAATTAATTGCCAGACACACACGTTCGTTAACACTTTCTTATTTCATTCAAAGAGTTCTACTTCTGTATATGTACATAATTTGTTGCTTCGTAAGTGTAGGTTTCGAGGTAGATGAATAGCTGCGATACCATGTAGAATGTCGGACTTGCGTTACATACAAGCGTCCAACGCCCATAGGCATTAAAGATCACTTCCTGAAGAATGTCTGGCACGACAGTACCGAATCTTCGGCTTTAAAAGCGAGTTAGAAATTCTGTCGTCGGTAGCAATTTCTATCTCTTCTTTAACACGTTCCCATTTTCAGTACACTTTGAATTTCTTGCTCATGCCGCCGCGTTATACTTTTTTATGCTATTAAAGAGTTGGAACAGCGAACTCCGGGTCAACCGAGATCCAAACTTACAAAACGTATAATATGTATAAGAATATTAACCCTTTGCTGACGATCGGACTCATATGACGCAAGACACAGCTATAAGTGTAGAGAGTAAAGATTTATAATATACGCTTTGAAGGATGGAATTATTACTTCAAGAGACAGTATAAAATTTAGAAAATGAAAATAATATAAAATACAAAATTACGTTATAATCTCTCCGTGGTCCGCCGCCAATCGAGGGTTAACGAAGAAATCAGGTTACTAGAAATTTAAAATTTATTAAAATACTTTTAGTAAAGGTATATAATGTATTTGAAAAAGGCTCGGGTCCTTCAGACCCGAGGCTTGAACGGCACCGAGTTTGAGTGAAAAATTATATGGAACAGTGCGGCCCTGTCTCGAGTATTGATCTGTAGGAGAGTTGTCTGCCACCCCTCCCGAGCCCAACTCTACAAGTTTCATCTCTCCGCAACCCCTGAACAACAAGGATGTCGCGCACCTGTGACTAGGCTGTTGGTGAATACCCTATTAGGCATCTTACGCCGAGACATTTGTCTCCGATTCACGTTCGTCCCGCACCAACTACATAGTTTCCGGGGCTTTACTTCGACTTGATCTTTCCATTTAAATTCGACCTTAGTGTCCGATGCGAATGCGCGCGGAATAATTTAAATTTTAGCGGAGATTCAACCCCCGCTTACGCAATCACGCAAGATATGGTAAAAGGGAAAGTGACGACGGGACAGCGATATCAGTTCTATATCAAAAGAGAAGTGCAACTCTTTTAAAAAGACTAGATTTTTCCATTTTCTTTTCACGAGTCTTATCTATTATCTTTACAATATTTCATTATATTTTTCATCCATAATTTCAAGTATTTAATTAAGTAAGTCAAAAAATTCCTAATAATATGAGTAATGAATTTCTATATGTAAACACCCTTTAGAAATTTTTTTCAGACAATTCGAAAAAATACTACAAGTAGAAACTTTTTCATCCATTCCATCTGTTTCTTCGACCTTAAAGGGTAATGGGACGAAACGGGCCAGAGAAAGGGTAGCCGAGCTACGGAGGTGGATTGTATGTATGTATGTATATGAATGAACCCGGACCCGCTGACTTCCTGCGTTTAGGAAGGTCGTGCACCGTCGCTTTCATTTATCGACGAAAGCCTTCGCTACGCACACACAAGAACAACGGGGGTGACCGACCCCGGGATTGTTGTCTTTTGGTTAAAAGAAAAGTTACTTTCGTCACTATATAATTATATCAACTAATCCATTCGAGACTAAGAAATATTGTAAAGTGCTCTTCAGAAAAATCAGAATTTTTTAATTATTAGAACAAATGGACTACTCATTTCTACCTCAACATCAATTTTAATATTCTATTTCTTTTGAATATTAATTTCTCTACAAAACAAACTTGCATAATACTCTATGAAATGTAACAATATAAGACGCACATGGTGCGTCATTCGATAAATTAAATGTGGAGCGTCGGACGCATAGGGTGAGCCATTATAAATGAAATAATAATCAATAATTTACTAAAAATATTACGTTAGATAAAACCATTTCTACGCTTATCTATGATTATAGAATTATTTAAGGACTTGAATATTTTAGTGTTACCAGCTCCGACAAATTCGATTTGAACTGATTTAATTATTTTATAACTTATTGAATATTTCAAATATTTTAGAATATTTTATTTAAATAGTATTTTAAAATATTCAAAAAATAACTAAAAAAGGTTGAATCTTGTAGGTCGAGATTCATTCAGAATTTAAATGAAAATTTGAAACATTCAAAAATGAGAAAAGATCAATTAAAATCATTAATTAAGGACAGAACTTTTCATATCAAATAGTACGTTTTAAACATAGAATTCTTAACATAAAATAAGAATTATCCACGTCTTATTATATTTATAGGGTAAATAAGTGGGATTAAAAATACAAAGGAATGTGGTTTACTTACCATTTGCTTCTTTAGCGTTGAGATCGTATCCATTCACGAGCATCTGTCGCACTCGAAAATCTTCTTTACGGTTGATAGATGCTTGGACTGCCGATTCCCCATTTTTGCTAGTCCAGCGGCCTTTTGACCCTCGCTGTTGTAATGTCGACGACCTTGGGGTAGTGCTTGATGTAGTTGTGTTTTCTGTTCGATTTCCACCTGAAAACAAACAAATTACGTTAACAAACTGATCATTTACTGATTCACACGATCCCAATTACAATTTCATATAATCAACAAACTGCTGACTTCCAATACTACATATGAAAACACTTTAGGAATATGATAATCAGTGATAACAATAATAATAGCAATAACAGTAAGAAAAATTTCTTTACATCTGTTTTTATTTGAAACATTTTACTGATAGTTTTCCACTATACTTATACTATAAAAATTTCGAAGACATTTTCTCTGTTTCTCGTAGATACTGAATTACCGAGATAACTGATGCTACACAACTAATTGTAAGTACACGTGCGAATACAGAACGACATGACCGATAAGCTACAAGCCACCGATACATTGTGTCATTAACGCCTCCTGGTGCAAACTGTAGTTGCAACAAGTTACCAGCAATCGGTGTCGCTAGCAGGCCAATTTTCTCATGGCGGGGATTCAAGCATGTGTTAATTATTTATATTAACATAACCCCTTCCTTTGCCATGTTTGCAGACGGTATTTAACGCGGCACCGCGGGAACGTTGACTGTCACAAAGTAAACGCCGTTGGTAGACCTGACTTGAAAATACAGGCGGGCAAAACTTCTTCGCGCGAAATAACTAGCTACGGTTCACGGTCCAGTTTGTCTCGTAAAATGATTACATACTGCTGAAAGCTACGTGACTATTGAAAGGCATAGATGCCACGTAATTTACGCGAGTGTTATTTGTTTGTGTATCGGTAAGAAAATAAATATGAAGTTTGAAATTAAACAAGGGGGTCAGTCTTTTTTTAATACATTCTTGCATTAACTTGTATTAATATTGAAATATAGTGAGATTTTATTGACAGCTATTTAATTCTGTGTAAGTATAAAATACGTAACTCCTTTGAATACATTAAAATCACCAATGATGAGTAAAGGTAACCACGAACCTAGTACTGTTTGACCACCAATTATGTGCCCTCGTATCAAAGTCTATAAACTTTGCACTTTCTTATTTTTGATAAAGTGTCCGTCTTTCTTACCTGACACTATTTCTTGAGAGGTCATTTGAAGAAGAAGTGCGAGCTGTTGTCGCTCGGACATCCGCGCTGGGTAACCGCGGAAACGACTGTTACCGCCTGCGGGCATTCCGTCGTCATAACTCATGTAACTCGGGCCCAAAAACGCACGAGGATCGCGGTGTAGAAGTTGAAGAAGAAAATGCCACGCGTGGATAGACGCTTGTCTTTATTTTCAGGCCCCCCGTAATTTGCCACGAGCGAAGATAACCTAAAATCGTACGGTCGGTTCACGCCATTTTGACCTACCGAGCGCGCACAGATATGTGAATCGACAGTCACGCGACACGTACGCAACCACACGCGCCAAAACCGATTGCATCTGATAAACACTAAGGATTGTTTCTTCCGATTTATGCACTCTTATTTCCCGGGCCAATGATTTGATTTCACGACGCGGCATGTGTGTGCGTGCTCTTTCGAAAACGAGATTCGCGACACACGACTCAGGACACAGTGCGCAATATGACGCAACGTTTGTTTTGTGTTTACAGTTGGTATCTCTGTCGGTAGTGTTCGTCGCGCCAATATTCAAATCAATATAATTAAAACGGTCGTTGAAAATATGTGATACTAATTAATTTAGTGCAAGATAAATTATCAAAATTCTAATGGGCAACTGATTTTTTTTTTTTTCCTTTCCTGAATGGAATACCAATAAAATAGCTGTACTAGTAAAATATACTCATATAATTTTTGTGTTTTGTTTTTAATAAAGAAGATGGGTTTACATATTATATAATGTATCATTCGATTTTTAAGTTATAATAGGAGTTTTATCATGCGATCGATAAGGTTCCATATACATTCGCGAAATAAATAATCAATAGAATCAAATGAAAATGATAGAAAATTTGGGTACTATCATTATCGACTACAGTAATTTCAATCTAATGAATATAATAGGCCATGTAGTCACCACATCCATATAGATATAATTAATTATTTTTTCACACTGTCCATCATAAATAGGACAAACAATTGAACTACGCTCATATTCTTATCACTGTCGTACATAATGCACATAATCATTTCATACTGCTTCGCATCTTGTGTTTATTGTAACCACATTATAATTTAATTATGAATAATGATAAGAACACATCGTTTAATTGTATCTAACGCAGTAGCTATCTACCAGTAACATTATAGAAAATACATAACGATTTTCTTATCGTCAGACCGATTATACATATACGAATTGTTATTTGTTAATTGACATTTCCAATACTGCGAATTGCACGCAAATTTTTCTTGGTGTACAACATTTAGTATAGTTAATAAGAGAAAAAAAAAGAACTGAAATAAAAAGATTACTGAAGTCTTGATAAATATGATTTCATTGTATTCACTTTTCTTTGTTGCTTATTTATAAAGGAAATATTTAATTTAATTTTTCTTAAATATCATTTCTTTTAGTAAATTTTTGAAATATTGATAGATATCAAATATTTATACACATAGTAAGAGAAAAACAATTTAAAAAAAACGATAAATAATTTTGTAATTCTTAGGTATCAAATGTGCGTATATGTATATTATACATATTGTAATAATAACAATTATATAATAAATCAAAATTTAAAATAATTACTAATAAAAAAAAAGTATAAAGAAATAGTAAAAAGTATGTATATATAAGTATAATTTAATATCTTTTATCAATGTAATAAGTTAAAAACGAAACATATCTTTGAACTTCTTATAGAATTTTGTATTATTCTTTCTTGACATTTCGTTGTAAATAAAGTTATAGAATAACATTTTACAAAATAAGACGAATATCGCAGTAGCTTAAGGATTTACAATCATTTGATAGCATAAGGTTTTGGCATAAAAAATGAATATTCATATGAGCATAAACACTGCTTGATGCATTGTACGTCAAATATCCTACTTTTCCATTCATTCTGATAAAGTAATAACGAATTGTTTCACACATCCCAGGATAATATAATCATAGAAAACAGTATAATACAAGTACATACTATCTACAGGATGGCAGAAGAAAATTTTTGAAGAATGTTTATCATTCTCTATTGGAATGAGGCTTGTTTTGTGTTGTAATAGGGAACATGTATATCTAGGTGCCATAAATTCTTCAAAAAGTAGTTGGACAGAGTGGTCATATATAATATTGAAATTCAAATTTTCTTCAGAAGCTAAGTCATTTAGCATTTTCACAAAAAGATTCTGTTTAGTCCCATTTGCATTGGTCTGTCTGTAAAGGTAAATTTCTTAAAAAGTATAAATAAATAAAGTTTTTAATGAAATTTTCCAATATCTTTCATCAATGTGTTCCTTGGTGTTGCCTGTGGATTTCTTTTGTCGAATGAGAATATAATATATATGTGTATATATATATATATATATATTTATGTACAAATTATATTAAGAGTTAGAAAGACTAGTAGTTTTACGCTAACTTACTTAATACACTTATACAACAAGTCATTGATGCAGTGTTTCTGCATTAGAAATAGGAAAACTTAAGAATTGTTTCTGTGTTTTATGTTTAAAGACTGAGAATCTATTTAAGGCGATTTTTTTCCACCTCTGTTTCCTGGTCATCGAGTGAAATACACATAAAGCTCTGACAGTTCCTGCATCGAGAAGATTAAAAATTTTATCAGAGAAAGTTTGTTAAGCTTGGCAACATTTTGCTTGGAAAATGGAGGACCTATCTATATCACATCAATACAGATATCAATTATTACTTTGATTAGTTATAAACTTATTAGACTTGTTATATATCATTACCAAACTGCAATGACTTAATAATAGTTCTTTACTTTCTGACAGTCAGAGGGACGACAGGTTATAGCAGTACGTGACATAAAATTACAATGTCTTTTCGTTCTCCATTTAAAAAGTAATTAAAAATACTATTAACGTATCTTTATATAATAATTTTATAATAAAAAGATTTTTACAATAAAACAGGACAATATTGTATACGTTTGTGCATAGGCAGTTTAACAATTGTACTTTGTGTAACTAAATCTTATTAATTAAAAAGGTATATAACTGAATTAGTATTTTAGGAGAGAGTATAAACAAATGTCACAGCTTTTGATTATTTTTTGGTTCACGTACCGTAAACCTATGCATCGTAACCATCTTTAATTTTCATCGATAGTAAACAATCATGATTATAATTTCACGCAATTCACTAACTAATTAACTTCATGGTTAAACGCACATATTATTATTCCCTAAGTTTACAATATCTATCTACTTTAACGATCATTAAGATTTTCATTCGTAACTATATATATGTATGTATAATAACAACAACGATGATGACAATAATGATGGTTATGATTATGATGTTATAATGAATGATGATAAATAGTAATAAACAACTTCACCATTATTAATTTTCATTCATGTTCTACGCATTGCATACTATCTGTTTTAATGGAATGTCTATTTCGATTTTCATTAAAGTTCAAAGGAAACTACATCCGATATTGAGTATGTATACATTTTTATCAGCGCTACATACATATGTATATACTTATATACGTCTCATAGCCATTATTATTCCTTATTTTCAACCTAAAAATAAAATTCAATCGCTTTGCGTTGTACATACGTATTCGTAACGTCGTCGATGGAGATAAAAAATTTGATTTATTAAGGCGGATGCATAAACGAATTTGATGGGGATGACGAATGCTAAGAATGACTAACTGAGTGAAGATAAATATTATCCTGCCGAATTCTTTAAAAAATTGTAAGTTTCTTAACTATGAGCAAATATCATTACATTTCAATCAATTTACGTGTCACTTTAAGTGTCTAATTTTATAGCGGTGAACTTTTCTACCAGTCTTTTTTTCCTTCTCCATACCTAGGCATTTTAATTATTAAAATCGTCATATTGAACCCTGTGTTTGACTGTATCTTGTTTTTAACAACATTTGTGTATATGGCACAAATGGATATATGTAGAGCTCACATAACTACTATGTGTATACATTGTATTTCTTCCACGCGGACGCGTAAATTGCGGGGAAGACTTTAGTTAATTAATAGTTTTATTCTCCTTTCGTTATTTAAACCCTGTCATAAAATTTCATGTTACTATCTTGCCAATCTTAAATTTGTATTCTGTCCCAATGAATATAGTATACGATAGTTATCAATTATTATGACAACAGCATTGAAATTGTCAGCAATTGATGCAGAAATCGCTGTCGTTGTAATTGTTTTTATAATTGTTTTAATTTGCAAATATTGCAAATATTGCAAATATTGCAAATCGTGGTTAATTTTGCAAAATTCACTTGCCCACAATTACGATTGGTAAGAAGAGTTCCAGTTTTTGGCAATTCTGAAACGTGGAAGTCAATCATCGCTGTTGCTGCTAATGTTGTAAGGAAAGACTGTCAATATGGTAGTATTCGATGATCTTATGTTAACCGCTGGTATCACGGACGGTCCACTCGTTTCTGCTGCATGCTAAAGTCTCCACAAGCTTGATCTTCGTGCTCCTGATCCAGATCCTGTCGTACATACACGATAAATATTATTAAATTGAATCTATAATTAATTTCCTACGTTTAGAGAAGTTATCAAACGTATTACATATAGCTTTTCTACGCCTTTAAGGATCATACGCATGATTAATGCCGGGTTTGTTACTAAACACTACGGACTAAACTGGTTTGAATTATTCTTGTAATCAGTTTAGCAAATCAATTACTCGTATAAATATTAGTGGAGAACGCAATGGTACCGGCTTGTTTAACGACATCCTCCTTTATCTATGATTGTACCGACCAGCATGAGAAATGGCCACCATCTCTATGGGCAGGGAACCTCTTCGTTTGACGAGTGGTTCAGGAATAGAGTCCTTTTTTCCAAGTTCCCTCTTCCATTTAAGCCATGTGCCATTATCGTTTCCATCTGTTGATCCTCCAGAAAACATTTCCGGTCCTCCGGAACTTCTCCTCCTCAAAATCTTTTTCCGATTACGAGGCTTACCATTTATACTACTCCTATTGAACATATCACGGCGTAATTCAGATATGTCTGCTGGCACTGAACCTCGCCGCGGGGACGGCATGCTAGGGCCGGTGCTATCGATTAGTCTTGTTATTCCGTTATTGTTGCTACTTCCGGTATTGTTATTATTATTGTTATTATTTATTGGGAGATTTTCTCGTTCATCTGAAAACATGCAACTTTAGTAAGAAATGTTAAGTGAGTTGCAATGCAACAAGTTAGGATGTGTTGTACATACTGGTTAAAGATAAAATATTGCCAAGAAGATTTCCAAGAGCAGTTTCTTGTGGAAGACTGGCTCTCCTAGGTGTTGCAACATTACCCTCCCGAGGTCCTAAGGCTAATCTATTGACACCTCCAGCTAAAATACGTACCATTAGATTCTGCAGGGTTTCTGAAATGAATTGCTCTTACCTTGATGCCTGGTAATGTCAGCGGGTACAGACCCACGTCTGGAAGTATGATCAACTCTAGATGGTATAGGTGGCATTGCGATGTCATCTAATCTTGATAGCAAACCAACTGGAGCAGATCCACGCCTTCTAGCCCATGACTGACAGAGTGGAAAATGGAATCATTATTTAACCCGTTTTCACGGGAATTCAAACATTCTGTGTAAATAAAAAATTATAAAGAACTGATTAATTATTATACCTGACTACCCTTTCGAGACAAAGGAATCCCTTTAGGATCTTCTACCGCCCGTGGATCAACGTTTTCCTTCATCTGTACATCGTGGCTCAATTTGGCAATCTTAGAGCTCTTTTCTTTCATAGGTTCCGAGTCACGTTTGCTGCCAGTAGAAACGAGCTCGTTATTCGAATCACCACCACCGATACTTCGTCGCGGTTCACTACCACTATCGCTGGACGACGACACGCTTTGTACGAGAGGCGGTGAATCCGGTGGGCTTCCGATGAAGAACACCTTATGAGTACTAAGTTCGGAGGTCACTGGTATTGCGGTAAATCGTCTACCCCCGCTATCAGTCATTATTGTCTTAGTTTCTGGCACAGGAGTTGAGTATCTTCGTAATTCAGAATCGATGCACTTCATTCTCGTAACCTGCATCGAACTGCACTGATCCGACTTGAACGCCACTGTAGTCCGTTGATTCTCGCCTACCGGTTTATCACCATATAATTTCACTTTCGAAACAAAGACGGAAGTACCATCCGTCTTGGAGCCTGTTTCAGTAGCACGACTCTCTTTCTCTTCGCTGGAACCGGTCAAAGACGCATAGAAACTCTGCGTGAAATCGATTCCTTGAGCAGAAGAGGGTCGCCTTTTGCCAGTTTTAAGGCTGGCGTCTTCGACGCGGATAGTTTGCACCGAATGACGTCTCAAATGATCGCCACTCGAAGGAGGCTCCATCTTCTGCTTAAACAACTCTGGAATCGCGGACCCGTATTTCTTCCCTGGTACCTCAATCTCTTTCGTTATCTTTACGCTAGCCTTTACTTGTGACGAGGTTCCCTCGAACTTTGGCGGTGTACCACAACGACCATCCGAGCAAGATTTCTCCTTGGCAGAGCACGACGACGAGCTAGAGCTGTCTCCCTCTATCAAGATCTGAGAGTAGCATTGCGCCATTTCCGCGGTGGCAGACAGATATCTCATTCTAACGTATGGCTGCAGGGGAGGGAAGGTTTGTTGCCTCGTTAACTGTTTCGATTGTGTACCCGCTTTCTGAGCTTCTGGCTGCAAGACTGTACTTAGCCTCGACGCTTCAGCGCTATTAGTGATGCTAGCTATACTCGGTTCTGGTAGAAGACTCTCAGCGCTGACAGGTCTCTCACCGGTATTGGCGTTCGGTGAGAGTTCCTGGCCAATGCTGCTCTTGGACGATAGCAACGATAACGAGCTGGGGTCCAGGAAGCTTTGCTCCTCCAACTTTAGCAACAGATTCGTTTTTGATTTACTCTGCTCAGTGGGCAGACTCTCGCGTCTGGCTGCGCTTCGCGGCAGCAACGTTAAAGGCTTCGATACGCTCAGCGGTACCGAATGACGTCTTCCCACGCGTTCCAAGCCAACTCGCGCCGGTAGGCTTTGCATCCGGGAAGACTGAACGTACGCAGCTGGTATCAGCAAGTCGATGCTTCCTGTGTCGTCCTCGTCCGCGACCGGATCATCCACAGAGCTAACCGCGTCTTCCGCTTCCTCCAGCTCGGATATCTCCGTTTCCGTTTCCTCCGCGGTTTCCTGCAGATTCAAGGCTTCCCATCTCTTCTGATTACCGCGTAGATGCTCCATCAACGATACGCTTAATCCGTCGCCCAGGAAACGATGCCATTCCTCGTACAGAGGCGTCACGACGAACTTGAGGAATCCAACTTGTATCTTTGGTATGCTAGTGGTATGCCGATCGCATAACGGCGTTACTGGAAGGTTCAATCGACGCTCGTAATCGCCCTGCCGAAAGAATTCTTCGCATACTTTGTACGACCATTTCCTTGAAATATCCCACGGTCTGCACGGGTTCGATATATCTGCACATTTCAGAGCTATTTGCAAAATGAAGTGCCGATCGTCCGGCCGTTTCATTTCTAAGAGATTTTCATCCAAATAGTGCTGCGAACATTCCATAAGAAAACGATTAGAGGAGATACCGCCGATCATTATTTTAACAATGATTCAAAAGGATCGCTTTTGGAATTATGTTTTCGAGGTATCGATGACAAAAAAGGTCTTAGTTAGTCCCATTCACCTGTATCATCCGCGTCTGCTAAGTTGAAACTTAGGAGAGTAGCCACTTCCAGATCGTAACCTCTACTGTATTATTGGCTAGAAATTAATTAGGCTTGTGTAAAACCTAATTAGGTGTGTGCAGACGCGGACGGTACATTACGAAGCACTCTTGTGCAATTGGACTGATTGCCAGCTAATTGCTACCAAAGACCTTCACCTTGAATCGAACGAGAAATTCCTGTTGCCTCGTGATGTCCGTGGCCAAAATCAACGAGCTGATGTGTCGTTGAAGTTCAGGTCTCACGTTAGCAGGCAATTGATCCGAGACGCCGCTTTCTAACAGACAGCCGATCGCCGATCTCCAATGATGATTCTCAAGAACCGACGTGTTCTGAAAGGAATTCAATGTCACCTGTCGAGTTGTTGTTCAGTTTGCACACGGTTTCGAATGGAAACTACGTCTCGAAGATGATCGACTCACTTGATAGAGAGCAGCCAAATGATTGCTCGTGGCAACCAGAAACGGTTGATTGACGCCCGGATGATCGAGATCATGCGTCACCGCGGCTATCAGTGCAGCCATGATCTCCAAGTTGGTTAAGTGTGTTCTAATCTATAAATGTATGAAACGTTGAACGAGCTCCTTCTCAATAATTCGTAAAGAACGAATTTAGAAATCTTTGAGTTTTTTTAGAGTCACAAGAACCTTTAACAAAACTGACTTGTGTCGACAGCATTTTCAAAGTAATAAAACTGATTGTGAGTGAATGAAATGAATATTTGATGGGTGTTACGAGTAACAAGGATACTGTTATTCACCTTTTCCTCTTGGAGGAAGCAATGCATAGCCTGAGTAACATCTGTGGCGTGTATACTGTTGTGGTAAGGATTTGTACTGTGATAACCTTCCTCGATGAAGGCTGCAATCAAACGAGATGATTAAAGAGCATTGCTCTTTGCGCTTTAGAATCTTTCGAAAGTTTAAGTAAAGATTCAGCCACGACAATCATGATCAAAGGTACATATTAGAAGATAAGATTCTAGAGACGTTTATGGTTTATAATTCATATGGTTGAAGGTGTAAACGACTTCCGGATGCGTGATATACTTATAGACCGGTCATACCCACTCTATAGAAAGTTCATCGAATCTTTACTGTACGCCATATACATACATATGGTACGTATAGGGTTGACTTACCAAATAATTTCCACACCGTTACCACGTCTAGATTAAAGTGCTGCAGTAGCCCGTACCAGTGAAAAAGATGCACGCATAACACCGGTAGGGAACGTCCTGAAAATCAAATGCAAACCGATAAATAAGTTAGAAAAGAACTTGGAATTGATCTTGCGGGCCTCATGCGGCAAAACTGACATTCTATGTATGTGTATGTAAGTATGTATCTATAATGCCGGCTTTTCAACATCAAGTGTGTCGGTAGTTAACACTAGTGTTAAAAAGAGCAAAGTGTAATAATTAATTTAGGTACATAATAATGGTATAACGAGATAACGATAAACCCGTAAGATCTTTTCAAGAGAAAAAATTTGAATAATGAAAGAAAAAAAGTTAAGGGTATCGCGTTCATAATGGATCCATCCTCCTCCATCTTCCTTTTGTTTTTATTTCTACTAAATTTCGCCCCGAACATGGCGATGTCTTCTAAAATTCAAATAACACGCCGACGCGCGACGCTTACCATTGTTCGCATGAATTTTTATCAGGGATGCATCATGGAATTAATGGCACGCCAGTCAGAGAAAGACGTTGCTGATTTACATACATAAATATCATACTTTTCTCAGTCGTAAACCAACGCGGGCGGAATAAATGAAGTAGAAGCTGAATATCGGACCGCGATTTTCCCAGATTTCTCACTGTACGAGTAAAGTATCGTCATTTTCCATTCGTTAGCTTAAACGTGCTGTGCTTGTTCTTCCACGTCTCTGACTAGGAAAGGGGTAGGTAAATGGAACTATGTAAATGTATTTAGATTGTAATAAAGTGTTCTAGATGGAAAAGGTTTAGGATATTGAATATTTTTAGGCTTTGTGGGCCAAAAGGTGAAAGTGAAATTATTATGCAGACAGAAATAAAGAATGTTATGACAAATTTTTATGGAGATAGATATAAAAATTATTTTTAACTCCCGGGGAAAATAGCTTGTTGACCCTGGTTGTAAAATATTATAATTAATTTTCTTTTTGATGCTGAATAAATGTTAACGAACAAGAGTATTTTTAGTCTGTGTTGTGTAGATTATTATAATCAGAATGCCAAATAATTTAAGTATGAATAGATATGAAAATGGAATATTACAACATTCCAGAGTATCGTAATTAATTGATGTTAACACTTTATCTAACGGAAGCTTATTAATAAGCTTATTAATAAGTAACGACTATCGAAAAAAAATTAATTAATAACCTTTTGATTATTACAAATTCACATATAATTCAAATGAATGAATGAAAGTTAGATGTATTTCAATTAAGAGGAAATTGTAAAGAAAGGTTACCCCTTTTAATCTTTAGTTATTATTTGAATTATAAGGTCGTAGTATGTGTATTTGTTTTATTTATGACCGGTGGATAATGTGTTAAAATGTAGGTACATGCTAATCGAAATAGAAATAAATTATAAAAATGATGCATTTGTAGTCATGTTTGAATATTAAAAAATAAATATTTTGTCATTTTTTCATATTTTATATTTATTCTAAATTTTACTACACAGTGTAGAATTAAAGAAAAAAGCATTATACATCACACTATTAGTTGGTGGGTGTTTATCATGGCAATTTAGATATCGTGATATAACCGCAAAAATAGCATGATTTTTAACATAGTTGCTTACCTCCCGTCACTGTTTCCAGCGTGAATGCATTAAATCGCCAGTTTCCGGCCTTTTGTAACACGCACTGCAACAAATCACCAACGCACAATAGATCAGCATCAGTGAAATGGACGGTTTCGTTGTGCGCGGAAAGGATCGAAACGTGTCCCCCGAGCACAATGGCATTGTAATGGAACAACCGTGTTCATTTCTTGAGAATACAGTAAATCGTTAAGGACCCGAAACGTGCTCTTTTGCGTGTAAATGATCGGTGAACAGCATATGTTTACTTCGATCGATCGATCGATCGATCGATCGAGTATAACCATGATGTTTTATGGAGTATTTGAAATTTATAGGGTTTCAAGGGCGAAATTGTACAACACTGTATAATTGTATAAAGAATATTTAAAAAAATATTGTTTCTTCGCTTCAGAAACTTTGAATTATGAAATCGCGAAAACGAAAACGAAAACGAAAACGAAAACCACTATTGCGCTATCCTTGTCCCCCCGTGCAGGAGAGACAATTTTCAATTTTCCGCATGAGGCCCTCAGCTTAAAGTTTTCAATTATGTAAACCTTCCTTATATAGTTTGATATCTCCATTTATTATGCAACAATCTAATAATATAATTAGAATTCTTTCAAAAGTTTCTATAGATTTATTTCAAATGAGCAATTAAGCTTTTCATCATTTTATAGAGTTACAATTAACTTTCAACTGCTATATTTTCTCCAACTAATTTAACGTTTAGCTAACTTTTCTTACGAGTGTACTTGGAGCTCGTATACAAATATGTATCCTACTTATTGGAGTAGGTCCCTGCGCGAGGATTTGCCAGAAACATTTCGAGTTTCATCTCTCTGCTGGTACCTACATTTCTTTTTGTATAATTTTGCGAACGCTACGTTCCTTTTTATAATTTTGCAGTTTATATTTACATAGGGAAAGTCTGCGAGATTTGCAAGCAAAACGCGTATCAGTACGTTTCTTTCAAAAATTATATAGGGTGTCCTGAACTAAAGCTCGTTCCAAAAAATGTCTCCTCTTGAAACAAAGTATTACTTAAATTTTAAATCTTCCTTTTCTTAATTTTAATATTATCTATTTAAGATTTGTAACTAATACTTTTCTTTTAATTACAAACAATAAGTATCTAGTTATGTAGAAATATAATATTTCAAAGAATAACGAGATATCTAATTATAAATTTAAATTTATTGTAGCTGAATTCGAATTTTAGAAAAATGAAATGATTATATTATCGGTGCGAACTGTGTTTGTTGAACTTCCCGTGTCAATAAACTCGAAAGAAAAACGAAACAAGCTAGGGAGTTCTTTTGTTAATGACCAGCTGGTGTGTGCACCCGTCTTATATGGTAATATTTCTTGCTCGGTGAAATTCGTACGAACCAACGAACGTGTAAATTTGCTTCTAAACACAATTAGTGGCTCACACGCGCACGCACATGTGCGCACACATATGCGTATAGGTCACAATCATTTCTGATCAGTAATGTCGTATTAGCACTTAACCGGTTAAATCGCTCAAAGGTTGTGATCGTTTGACCGCTATCATCGGTTTTCCACCTCAATTACCTAACGGTTCAAGTCCCTTAAACGCTTCGGATTTTATCGACCCAAACACCTGCTGATTTTAATCAACTGATTTTTTTTACGTCAGTTTAATAAATTGCATAATATAGGTGGTACTATGGAAAATTTCTAAGAAGTTCAAGATAATCCTGAAAAATCTTTTTACTAATAAAAGGTAACGGAATTTTTAACAATTTTTAACAATTTTTAACGTTTCGATCATTTCTATGAAAAATGTTACATCTCTCCCTCGAGTCTCGTGACGAGGCGGCTTTTCCCAAGATCGTGTGCGTAAAGTTTATATCAAACGATTGGTAGCTCACCTGAACCAGGCCGTGGAAAATATCGTCCAGAATACCAGGCTCTTGAGTTAAGGATCTCGTGGTAAGCCTCTTACGACGTCTTTTATGCATCGTCAGGAATCGACCGGTAGGCCTAGGTCTCGAGTGACCGATATCCAAACTTTCCAGCAGGACTCGGTCCACCTCTGACAAACGTCTCGACGCTGCTGCTTCCGGTTTTGCTTCATCCCGAATCTCTGTTATAGTTGCTGACACACCTGACGTTGGCAGTGCGGCGCTTTCTGTTAAACAAACAAAAGAAAACGAAAGAATTACTGCTTGAAAAATGGCTGTAGCATCGGAAAATATTTTCAATTGGCAATTGAAAAATAAAAAAATTCCAGTGGAGAGTTTTCTCTATTTCTAGCGAGAACAGCTTAAATTGAATTTTCATACTATACATACCTATACTTGTATATTGTATGTATATAATTTTTTGAAAATGCCGAAATATTATTTCGAACAAAATTATACATATAGCTGTTGAGCCACTTGATCTGTAACAACCTAATAGAAACTAAAAGGCCATTAAGCGTTTCATACGTCGCTTGTGTCACGCTCCAGCATTTGCATAAAAAGAAAGGCTGTAATCATATAATCATATACATACGTGCACGTACGCATCATAATGTCGAATAATACGCTGTCGACGCAACGACGTACTCTAGAAATTGTGTAACAGAAATTATTAGCAGGCAAGATGATCTCTCGTGTTGCAACCAAGTCATTTGACAATGCTTTCTAGCCAACGCTTCGTTACGCAAACGTGTAATTGTCAGGGAGAGTTGGTGGTTATTTCTTTAGGCAATAAGAGTGCATTTCGAGATAAAAAAAATTGAGAAAAGAAAAATGTTTTCTAATAATATTAAAACGAAGTTAGCTTAAAATTATTGTAATTCCTTAGGTACTCGATAATTATTATCTTCTCTCTACACCAATAATATAATTGAGTAGCCTAATTACAGACAAACGCTCGAACCTTTTACAATTAGAGCAACTACTAACGAGGCTGAAATTCATTAGCACATCGTAAATGTGTTTTATGAATCTTGTTAAGCATCGTTAATTTCCAATTGTATTTTTTTCCATTCTACAAGTATCGAGTGCGTAATTATTACATTAGCGTGAAAAAAATCATTACCTATTCCAATTGTAAGCTGTTGGAACTATTATTTTTTTGCAAACTAAAATACCTACTATATTTTTTAATTTTCCTTACTTATTTATTCATTTGCACTAATTTGAATTAAAATAGCGTATTCTTATTTATCTTCTAATTGCATGTCGAAAGAAACGCAATAATTTATAATGTGATACCATATGTGATTATTAATAGAATATAAATTTAATTCGCAACGAGTAGAAATAGAACGCGAGTCCTGCAACTCTTCCTCTCCCTTATTATCTCTTTCTCACTCTTATTCTCTGGTGACGCGTTCACGCATCGTGGCTGTCTAATTAACCTAATTGCGGTCGTGCGTGTTATCAGTCGAAGAAAACGGCAGACTTTATAGCGCGTACGTTTCACCGAGGTTATCGCTTTTAGTTTCCTTTCTCTGTTCGTTTGTTTTCTACTTATCGTTAGATTCCAGCATAGCTCAGGCATTGTCTTCCTGGTATACAATAACAATGTTTATAACCGTACTCTGTTATAAGATTGTTTAATAAAACCCTGAGTCTCTCCAGAAGTGACTTCTTATTTAAAATAATAATAATAATAATAATAATAATAATAATAATTATTATTATTATTATTACAGGACAACAGCTCTTTTCACATTAAATTTTATTATTATTTTGTAAAATAATAGATAAAGATTCCTATTTCTTTTTCTCTTAAATTTAAATATGAATAAGATAAATTTTATTCGATAGAGCATGATGAACATTTGAGGCTCAGTTTCTTTTTACATACATTGTATTTTTTAAGCCTTCAAGGTTGTTCTAATTATTCTAAATGAAGCTTAGAATTTTTCTTATGTAACGATGCAATAAAGGTATTGAATAACCTATGATAACATCATCTTAACTTTATACAATCTTATTATTTGTGAGAATCTCGTGAATAATGCTCTGCAATAGATATCTATGACGTTCACTTACGTTAGTTTATGAGAATCCTTTTTTTATTCACATTACTAGTTACAGAATTTCAACAGAATTTTTTAACAAAATTTAATATGATAAAAAAAATTATTAATTTCATTTGAATTTAACAACAATAAAATTTAATAGTAAACTTCCCAAGTAAGATTGAAAATTTTTTATTTAAATAATTTAAATTAGTTTATACTCTGTTAGAAATTGTTTGCATGTTTTTAATTAAATGTTCGGGTTTATAAGATTACTTCCGATGAAAAACATCAAATTTCTTTCTACACAAACTGTAATGCCATATGAAAGAAAGCATGAAGTTTCATTAAAAAAGTTTCAAGCAATTTCATCATTTCAAAACCTTCATCCACAATTCTGAAACCTCTTTATTCATAACAGGAATGAAAAATTTTATTGAAAATTTCTAACACTGTTGGGTGTTATTCATTTATAAAATCACTGAATGTAAGTGGAATAAATGGAATAAATATTGAAAACAATTTTTTAACAATTTCTTAATATAGGTACAATTATAGGTAGAAATATACTCTCGTTATATTGCCATGTGAGCGATTAAATCTTGACACAGATTTTTAAGCATACATACTAGTAGTGAAACTCTTCCATTACCATAGATTTTTATCTACCTTAACTGAATGTTTGCAAAATTTTCGTCCACGGCAATATAACGAGAGTCTATCGTAGTACTTATTATGCGGAGATATCAGTATTATATGCACCTTTAATTTTAAGTCAGAGCAATAATTTGATAAAATAGCTGGCAAGAAAAAATTGAGTTTCCTCCGTTTACCTCGAACGTCCTCAATTATACGATAATAATGATTTATAATTAGAAATGAAATGAGAATTTGAAATCAGACTGCAAGAGAGGCTTATTTAGTAGATTTCTCGGAAGAAAATCTACAGAGAAGATAGAATAGTAGAAGGTAATTTAATTTATTTTCCAATAAGACAGGGATCCAAAGCATTGTGATTGAATCGTTGTAGGACGGATTCTTTATATCTTACCCTATCAGTGAAAAGCCTATCCAAATCCTTTGATATAAACGCTACAGAGCATCTGGGTTAACTGGAGGAAATCAATAGAGGAGGAACCCAGCGTTTGTATTGTAAAGAATTGGTAAAGAACTGGTAAAGAACTGGTAAAAAAATATTTATTATTAAACTAACAGTACAAAATTGCTTTTCATATGAATTTTGATCATGTATTTTTTAGAATCTTCTCTAATCGGCACAATTACCCTATTTAATTCTTAACTGGTACCTTCAAGTCTTGGAGTACTCTATGTATACATATAATCAAATACCAGATGATACTAAGTATCTTAGTGGAACCTGGGTCAATTGTGACCGAAACTTATAAAACGTATATGTAGAATGGTATTAAACTAAAATTAAATATCTCTATTACAGAATTAATGAGAAGATAAATTCGTTATGATGAACGGTACATAGAACAGTTATTCATCGGACATGCAAACAACGAATTGATCGGACATTGAAATTTTTATTGACGTTCAGGAAGCGTAAAATACGTCATACATCACGTTCTTCTCCATAGCCGCTTCCTGTACCATCCAGCTGAACCGGAAGTTTTATTACTTTGCTTCCTTCGATTTAAAGTTAACGCGTCTGCATAAATAAAAAGTTATCAATCGTGTCTATAATTCTTCTATTTTATATTTATGCAGATTTCCTGAACTATCTTTTTTTTTCAGGAAACTAAACTAAAGTTTAGATGGAAGTTTTTCAATTTCACATTTACACAAAGTGCAAATAAATGAAGTAAACTGAATTTTAAAATATGGTTAGTCACATGGTTAGAGAGATATAAAAGGTACGCAGTTACTCTATAAAAAATATAAAAAAAATAAACTGATTAATAGTTGCACTCACCGGAAAGACGGACGAATACAGCATTCTGTTCCCCACTGTCCACCGTTATCTCTGCGCTTCTCCTCTGTAATGATAAAAAATATTATCGATTAAACACATAATTTCATAATTTCATAATTTCATAATTTATTATTTCTATAAATGTAATTCTAGTAATTAATTTAGTTGTACAGCAGCGTATGATACAGAGCTCGATTTTGTCGATTTTGAATTTTAGTTCAAAAATATACTTCCATGAGTATACTTCTCCTGAATTCTTTTCGTATTTCATTGCTACTTCGGTAGAGGTAGATACTACATATGTAGTAGTGTTACTCCTATAAACCTTTAATTATATAAATAGTGTTACGACTTTTTACAAAATTATTTCTCTTTGAACGCTCTAGAATAGTGGGAAATTTATGAAAAAAATATGGTCACGTTGGTTCTGTATCAGAGCATACGGTGCGGCGTCATACAGAGTGATACAGAGCGTCAATGAGGTGAAGGAAAAAGGGGGCAGGTTGAAAGGGTCGTGTGAAATTTAGTCGGGAAGCGATCCTCCCCGAGCTGGCAGCGTTCGACAATTGGAACTTTTCATTGGTGCATTGCCAATCGCGAAATGGAACGACCTGGATTCGAATTCGCCTCCCAGGTAACGATTAAGCTGCTTCGTGATAGGCCTACCTAATATTCCAAGAATCCGCGAAGGAACGACTGGAGGAGGATGCCTGCTCATTACGCCGGCCACGTACGAAACGTTCGTGAACTTGGCCAGAATTCGTGAACGTCCAGGCCAGCCGACCTGGAGGAAAAATTAACGATGGATTCTTTTGAAAAATTTCTAATTGTAAGTATTATTTCCGAATACATACACCTATATTTCAGAATAGAAAATTATCAATAACAAGAGTTTTCGAATATGTTTTCGAATATTGGGGGGAACTAATTTCATTAATTACTACGAACAACCTTGTATGTACAGGATCAGTCACATCTGATCGTGAAATCCAAGCACGGTTCCCACAGCATTTGTTTATTTTAAGCCGCGAGATTTACAGTCTCAATATTTTCCCTCTGTGCTTGCAAAACGATTGTACATTTGGTTTAATTCGATGCATTATACGTATATCATACTGTCACGAATAGAATAATAAATTTTACGCTAGTCATATCTGTTCGTGACCGTCCATGAAAATTTGGTTCGGAGCCAATCTTTGAATTATCATTCCAGTTAACGACGTATGTACTTACATCCATGTACGACGCTTAACGGATCCTCCTAGTGTGATCCTCCTTCAAAAAATACAAGTATTTGGATAATGTTAATGACGAAAGTTAAGAAGACCTTTAACGATAAAGTTGAAGAAATTATAAAAGCAATTTCTACATTACTAGAGCGACGTTTAGGTGGGAATATGCAAAATAATAATGAAAGTTTTAATGGCTTAATATGGCACTTCGCTTCGAAGCTCCGATACTTGCTCCGATAAAAATTGCAGACATTGCTGGTTAGTTGGCAGTAACGATTTTTAATGAAGGTTATTAATGAAAACGATAGAGATAATAATCCATGTTGGAAGTAAAACAATTTTGCCGATAAACGAGAAGAGAAGATAATAGAGGTTGTTGAAAAGAGACGTAAATAGGCATTAAAGAAGATACAGATGGTTAGTAAGAGCACAAATGCTGCTTTGCAAGGGTTGTACGAAGAAGAGAATGGTGTATTATACGTTTTTTTTTTTTTTTTCAATAATTAATTAACTGCAAGTATCAACTTTTTTGTACTCTTACCTTCTAAGGTGAGACTTTTGAAAGAAAGAAACTTTGAAATTTTAGAGTGCTACCTAATTACGCGAAAGACTATATCGGTTCCAATTTGGTTAATTTTTTCGGGTAATTAGGTTAATTTATTAAAGCAACATTATCCAGAAAATAAACTAAACCTCTGGCTACCAGGTTCTACGATACGTACATACAAAATTGGATACCGTATCGATCGCGTTCGTTGAATTATTGACGTTATTCGATAAAATTATTTCATCGGCCAGTATGCGGTTAACTGCAGTCAATTCTCATTTAACAGATAATTACCATGAAAATAATGGGGTATTTCGTGCGATGTTACAAACCGCGCTAGAATAATGGCGACACTTGAACGCTACGCATGATAATACATACCGGCTCCGAGCCGGTAATATTAATATTCATATTTTAATTAAGCGCAATAATTGCTCGTAATCAATTGTTTTAGCGTGTCCACCAGTTGTTCCGAGCGCAGTCAACAATTTTCCATGCGACAAATTATTCACAAACTACATATGTATATGTTTTTCTCTGCTTACAAATAGAAACCCGTGGCTGCAGTCCCTGAAGACAGGAAGTGCCTTGATGGAAACGATCATTTCCATAAATGTAGTAGTTGAACAATTAAAAGTGAGAATATCGTAAGCTCTGTTGTAATAAGAATTAAAAAGGTATGTCAGACTTGTCTAATTGTACTTGTTCCAGACTCCGGATTGACCGCGGTTACGAAACCGGACAGTGGCCATTAAGATCGACGAACGATCCGCAGAAACGGTCATCGTCGTTGAAAACGGTTAATCGGGCGTGATTTATTATCAACGATGCAACCGAAAACGTAAGCCGTTCTCGTAAGCCAGTTTCACGGAATATTGATTGTTGTCTTTTCCACTGTATACCAGACCATATTGAACTTGACTTTAAGATCTCTCAACAGCTACTCTTCTAATCCATAAACGCGTTAGAAAAAGAGAATGTAAAGAACAGAGTTTCAAAGTGTCCTCTAATGATTTTTGCCCCAACTATTTATCGTAATAAGACGATATTTGAATATCCAAATAAATAGCCTCCAGACATGAAAAGCTGTCTTAAGTCTGGTGCACACATCCCCCATCGAGTCGGTTCTGTGGATCGAACTGGTCGGAATGTATACACCAACCTTAAGGCGGCTCCTCATGTCTGGAAGTTGTTTATTTGGATTTTCAAGCATCTTCTTCCTGTTTTGATGCACATACATATCTAATTTAAATGCCGAAAAGCAGAAACTAAAACAAGTATGTACTAATCTACGATTTCACTTCTGCATAATCTTCTCTGGGTCATCACTTATCAATGAAAAGTTTATTTAAACACGTCAACGGTTAAATAAAATTAAATGAAACTAAGCTGTAAATTATTGAATACCAACAAATAGTTTTGATTTGAAATAGCGATGCATGCAAGGAAGCATTTTCGCGTCCACTTCTTGTACATACTTCGTATATTGATCTATTGTGCTTTGAAAAACATTATGTCGAAAGAGGTGCGTGCACTCTTGTCACCGGTAAATAGCCGTATCTTACGGGAAAGGATGGAAGAAGTTGGAACCACCGTGAGTTTAAGTTTAAGACCTCGCTACCCTTATCGTTAGTTTCACCAATCTCTCGTTTGCAAGTAACCCTATTTCGGTGCCGTGACACGACAGTCACGGCTGCTTAACGCAATTGCTGCGAACCTTTTTAAATCTCACCCACACCTTCCGTCTACCATACTCACTTCTTCATCCCTCCAAGCCCAATCAGACGCCGCGGCCGCGAATGTTTCAGGACACGCGGGACGCCGCCGTGCGCCGAGGTAAGTCAATCCCGTGACGTCACGGAACCTAGGGTCACCGCGTTGAAATTCAGGTCGACTCGCTCTATCTCGTTCTTTCCGCTATGTTACTCCGTCTCTCTCTTCCTTCTCCACTTTACATGCACTCGAACGTTTTTAGCAAGCGTCAAGGATAAAAAAAAAAACGAAGAAGAAAGGAGTAACCCTTAATCTTGTTTATCTTACACGATATATTATGTAATACAATTATTAAAAATTTGCTCACTCTCTCTAATGTTTTAAACGATTTCTAATCAGATTTTAGAACGCTTCTTTGTAAATGCGGAACGAACATTTCAGGATCCATCGAGTGACACCCTTGGACTTTGAATATCTCTTTTAAGGCACGAGGGATGCCATTCAGGCGAGTATAATGAATTCAGTTGAGTTGTTGCGACGTACATACATACATACATACATACATACATATACGCTATGTAGCTATACCAATACGGTGAGTAAAATAAGATGCGGATCAGCATTCAGGGGGATCGATTTCACGGGGTGAGGAACGTAAACATTCATGCCGACCCAAATGCTGCCTTTGGCGAACAAAATTTAATGGTTTTAGTATCGTAAAATTATTACGCAACGATTAAACTGCCCTTTTTAGGTATTTATGTACATAAATATTTACTATAAATAATTCAATCCATAATTTACTAAAAGTTCTAAAGTACAAATTTTACTTAAAAATTGTGTTTTATAAAAATATATAGAAACTTCGATGAGATAATGTGTTAACCCTTTAACAGCGTAATCTGGGTCAATCGAGACGCAAACTTATAAAACGCAGAGAAAGAAATTAACCCAAATTTAAATGTATAATTTTGAAACAGAAGAGTTTCATATATTCGAAGAATAACTTTTAGAGAAACAGATAAAATTTCATTGAAATCGGGCTTCTCTCTATGGTCCGCCGTCGTGTCGCGTCGGCAGGGTTAAAATTTATAAGAAAACACATCATTGAAACATAAACAGAATAGGAAGAAAAGAATTCTCTATGAAATATGTAATCTGATATTAAATTTCCGATATAAAAAAGTGTTAAAAATTTCTATGTATCATTTATAATGAGAATTATAACACGTTCTTTAGTAAATTCCGGAGAAAAAAAATAAGCAGCCTCATTATTCAAACAAACATCTCGAAACGAGCAGTTTAAGATTGCTCTTGCAGAGAGGTAAATGAAAAGTAACTGCATCATTCAAACATCATAATGTCAGCGAAAATCTCGTTGTATCCTCGTCTCGTTCGCTAAGTACACAAAATTAAATCGACACGAGCATTTATAAAACGTGTATCACACCGCTGCTGTCGAGTACATCAGTGTCCCTTTCTCCTAAAGACTGTTTATTTTCATAAGCGATGCAGATTTTTCTTTCCTCATTCAAAAAATACTGTTGCAACCAAAATACATTAATATGTTTGCTGCGGCACCGAGGTCAGACTAAAATAAACTTTTATGACAAGAGAAATTTCCTATACGTAACACCTGTGTGTCATTTTATAATATCTATATTGACTGGATCAAATATCATAGGATCAAAAGAGAGGGTATAAAAGAGTTTACTTGGAAAATTTGTTTTATATTTAATAAAACGTAAAAAAAAATAATATTGTGTATACCATCCAACTATCCGTAGAAGAACGACTTTTACGAAGAATCGTTTACCACAAATTTTTCAAAAATTTTTCAAAAATTTTTCAAAAATAAGAGAGCAATTTATAAATTTTCATGAATTCAAGTCAAGTCAAGTCAAGATCTAGCAGATCTCGTGGCAGCGATGGAAGTATCAAAATCTTGTATGCACCGTGTCAGTTATTTGTGCCAACTTCGTGTAAATAATCTGGCAGAAGAGATTTTATTCAAGCCAAGCTTATTAAGTTGCATTCAAATTTCTATTCGCACCTAACGATCTACTTGTACCAATTCCATTACATAAGCTAGTTGTGTAAATTGCATAACTCTGTAAACACAGATTTATGTTATAACACATTTTCAAATGATATTTTCAATGATTTTAGCCAGCCTATAGAATTAACATTTTGAGTTATGGTCATCTCGATCCTTAATTAACACGTTGAATGCCATAGGAGTCACCACCGGTGATCAGCGCCGTAAATTACACATGCCTGAATAATTAAAAGAGAAGAATAGAAAACCATCTATTCACATAATATTGTTATGGCACAAATAACGTAAAATAGCAAATATAGAAAGGTTGAAATTTGAAATTCGAAAATTGAAAATTAACTATTTATACTCTTAATAATTATAGCTTCAATAATTAAATAGGTTTGAAGGTTCGAATTATATGAAAAATTATATCATTTTCGTACTTTGCACATTTTATTTTTCGACCTGGGTCGAAATGACCTTGTAATCGATGTGCGAGGGTTAATAACGATTGATTAAGACTTATCGTAATTGACTGAATGAGCAAAAAAAGATAAAATGCTCCTGTTACTTGATTGATAAAGAAAGACGAGAGCCAAACGAAAAGAGCAACATCTTCGCGTTGCTAGCAGTCAGCACTAATTGTCTTGCCAGAGTAACTACATTCTGCTCAATTCTGCTCAATTCTGCTCAATTCTGCTAAATTCTGCTAAATTCTGCTATTTTCAAAACATCGTATCGTAGCGATCCGGTGTTGAACGAAAATCGAAAATGTCGTTTGCGATTGCGTAGGCTGCGCACTCATTCTAACTCGATAACAACATCACGTTGCATGCGCGATCTATCTATCTAAGTATTTCTATTCTAATTAAGTTTCCTAATAATCGCTGTTTACGAAACGCTTTCTGCTCTTCCTCTTCGAATATATCGAACGAAATGTATTTGAAAATCATAATACCGGTTTAACTAACGATATAATCTGAAAACATAGTAGATGAGTGTAATGAGCGAGTGTCGTTCACCGGCATGGCAGTGGGATTATAGTCTGTTCAACGAATTGAGAGTCAGTGAGGTAAACAAACGCACGTGATTGAGACAGGAACGTATTGACAACCTGCAGATACAATATGATTGTAACGACTAGCGACTGTTTAAAAATCATTAAACATGTGTATAAGGTATTAACAATTAGTAACAGTGTGTTACGGAAAATTTACCAATTAAAATTGATGATATCAATATAATATTTATAGTTTCTGATTAGTTACATAAGAAATTTTTAAAAATGCATATATTTTTATTACAATTTTTCTATGAATAGGGACTGATTATTGCACTGATTGATAACACTTGATTGTTGCCCACTGATATGTAAAAAATGTGCTATAATTTTCAAATACTATTAAGTTACAAGATGACATTGTTTATACATCTGCAAACGGTAAGTAAGTTGTTAAAATTTATTAATTTAAGATACCAATCAATTTTATCAGGGCAAAAATTAGCTTCACTGCAAATGCTATTTACACAGTTGAAATTACAACGTAATGTAGATGTTAGTGATAATTTGGCAAACTTCTGACAGGTATGTTTCTACTATTCTTAATTGAACAATTTCAAAAAATGCCACTAGCATCCCTTTGGTCCTAAGTGTCTTGTATTAGTTAAATAAATTTTATTAAATTAATTGAAATTGAATTAATTGAATTAAATCGTTTATTGATCTGACGATGAATGGAACGTAATAAGAGATATGGTTGACGTAGAAAATTTTTAACCTGTCTGTATTATCTGCATTAAACGCAAAACGATATCTTTTGAATATCGATACTCATCGCAAGCATCTGTTTCGTAAATGAACATTTAAACGCAGAGAATGAAACAAGTACGATACTCGTGAATTATTTGCGTCATGTTATAAATATAATACATTTCACTTCTGGGAGAATGCATTTATTCTACATGTTTTTTCTCCCGTTAAAATCCACCCGTATTCCACCCACCCATCCAGCCATTTAATATTAAATGTTCGCGAATGCTACGATGCAATTTTGCGTTAATTCCACAAAATTCGCAATTTTTCTTATTCAGCATTTCCAACAATCGGAGATTTTGTAAAAAAAACTCTCATTATCGATTGCTGCCTCTCGTGGGATGTTTCAAACTGTTTTTTAGTTGAAAAAAATATCCAACAATATAAATTTGTATTTAAGCAAATTATAGAAGAAATATTATTTTCTTCTTCTTTATTTATTGTCACAAGAAGTGGATGAAATCTGGTATTTTGGATTTTCGAAATTTTTAACAACTGGAATTTTAGAATTTTAAAATTTTTGGAAAAGGGTCAATCTAGATCTCACCTTAACTCTACCTAGTCACTCCAATTACTATATTCGATTGATAATAGTGATCGTTATAAGAATGATCGTATCACAGCGAAATTTTAATAAAAATGTCTATTCAATTGAAATAATTGATTTTATGTTTGCGAATTTTCCTCGCGAGGTCCCGCCAATAATGTTCAGCTAACAACTTTATTTATTAACTACGGTTTGTGTGTTCAAATGCTCCTTGTTACCAGTGTAAACAGACAGCTTTGTTGACGCCGAGTGTACTTTGAGAAAGATTCTCTTT